GCCTTGAAACTATTAACCTTGAACGGCCGAACAACAATCGCATTCTGAGAAAATGGAATTGCGAAAAAGGCATCCAGATAGACAGTTACAATCGGTTTTTGAACTATGCCACCCAATTCCACGACATTATCATTTGATTTGTTAAAGCCAAATCACATGAGATAACGAGGCTAACAGAAGCGACCTCTTAATGTAAATATTTAAATTGGATTATGCGACAATAATGACGAAAACTAGTTTAATCCGGTTTCCGTTGCACATTTGCCTTTTATAATTGTCTCGTAGACGATAAAAGCTAGAAAAATGTGATTATAATATATGTTAATAGTGCAGATGGATTACATGTCATATTTTGAACGTAATTAGGATATTTGAATATCTTTATCACGTTATAATAGTAGATAGTTTGTTGCTAGAAAGTTCTACAAGAATTTAGACGAAGAATTTGATCTTTTATTTTTTCACCCATATTAGATATTTACTAAAATTGGATAGGTATCCATTTTGATTTAGTTTCTTAAAAAAGAGCTTTATGTGAATCATCTTCATCGCCACTAGCGAGAACATATTTAATAAAATCGAAAACGAGGTATTGTGTTTTTGACCACTAAAGACCATGGTCACTCTTTTCCGACAACCGGAAATATTGCACTACATTTTGTGTACCTGTGCAATTGAAATTATGAGGGTTTCAAGAGATTACTTGGCCGCTGTATTATAAAAATATGCTTGGTGCTCAAAAAACGGATTGAGCTGGTCGTGAAGCAGTGCTTTTGTTGAGCAAAATGATTTCAATGATTTGACATCAGATTCAGACACAAAAATGCGACAAAGTACGTGCAGTCAAGCAAAGGCTCATAGCGTTAAATATCAGTATCTATCTAGTTGGTCAATACTTTAAATGAGGTACTGGAACAACTGAGAAATAGGTCTAGTTTTCTTGTATATCGAGGAATTGCATTCTTGGACCTTGATACATACGAGAGTCGCTTCCCAAGTCATTCTCGGAAGAAAAGGTGCGGAAGCCTCGCCGTCGACCACCAGTCTCAAAGCTACAGACGGAATCAATTTTGTGATGGAACGTTTAATAATATGAATAGCCCAGGACTCTATTATATATATAATATATATAAAATGGATGCATTCACAAGCATCTGCCAGAATGTGGGATGATTCTTCAGGGACGAGTCCATTGCAATTTTCTCTTAATGACTCGTCTGCCTCGTTAGGTGTTCTGACAAATCGAACCTGGTGTTAGGTATACACCGTCAAATCAACTTTTGTGTAGTTGATACTCAGTATTCTTTAAAAACAAGTTTTCTTGTTTTCTCTGTTGTTTGATGATACAAAACGGCACTGGAACGTTGAGAAACTAAGAAATGACCACGCAACAGCTGTTTGCCATGAAGGAGCAATTTGGTCGCAAGTTTCATTTTGGACTGGCTAAATCTCATACATTTTTCGCGTAACACTTTTTTATTCTACGTGTCAAGGTGGAATAGGTACGAGAATCTGTATCAAAGTAGCCTGAGGTCATACATTTTTTGAGGGGCCCTTTCGAAAATTTCATTTGTCCAACTAAGCAATGAATCATGAATGATCATATAAAAAAAGTCCACGTTTGGAGAATTTTACTATCTATTTCCTTTGGCCTGTAAGCATAAACAGTTAAATACATCTTTGAGCTATCCTTATAAGTGTTTTAACTGAATAAACTCGTGTCTGAGTGTGCCATGGTACTATATCGCTGAAATAAACATGTCATTCGTGTCGTCCAAACGGTGGAAAGTTTCGTCAATTTTGAGTAAACAGATCCTTTAGATGAAAACAATATGAAGTACGTGATGCAAACGAGTCACAATGAATCTGACAAACAGAATCTGATGCAATCTCTCTGTCCAAATATAGATATTTAAATATGTTCTAATATCAATTCTCCATAAACGAATCCATGGTGCCACACGCCATAAAGAAATATTCCGATATACGATAAAGCAAGTGATGCTGATAATGCTTAATTTGATTACTGCTTAATATATAGTTGATTTTGTTTTATTCTAAGTATTGCGAATTGCAGGATGATAATTTATTTCTTATGGGAACCAGTATTTTCAAAAACTACCTAAGCAATATTTTTTCCAAAATGATTTTTTGATGGAAATAATACCTAGACAAACAAACTGATTTAAGTCCACTCAGTCTTTTATTCATGGATGGAACATCAAGCTGGCAGGCGAGCGACAGAAATGTCTTCAGCCTTGCTTGATTTTTTGAAAAAGACTAATTTTGCCCCGGATATAGACACTCTTCGGGTCTTCTCTGATGGATGCGGGTGGCAACATAAAAATAGCTTTACCATCCACATTGCTAATGTTATGGTTATATAGCTTTGCTCCAGAAACGATTAAAAAAATAGAAGTTATCTTCCCAGTGCGAGGACACTCGTATATTCCGGCAGATAGAATTTTTGGGAGTGCGGACATAAAAATACCTGAATAATAATAATAATAGGTGAAATCAGAAAACTTGAAACTGACCATTGGTGAATATAAAACAAGCTTCACTCTGTTTGAAAAAAGTCCTAGGAGTTTGCTCAAGTAAAAGAATAATCATCAAACGAGGAACGCCCTCAGGCGTTGTGGTGAAATCTGAATTGCCGTATCGAACGGATGATCCAGCAAAAAAATTTCAAGGTTTGTTGAAACCTAACGGCGGTTAAACCAAATCGAACTTCCCGAGGTACGAGTTGGACATGAAATAAAGCAGAAAAGCTTGATAGTCTAAAACACCTACTTGTTACATATGGTGTGAAACAGACCCGGAGCTGAAATAAATGGCTGAAATATTTGAGAAAACTGTGGCAAACTGTAATGATGAAGATGAAGAACATGAAAATGACAAAGAAGCTTGTGGCGCTAAGAATGATGATAATGAATTTATTTAAAAATAAAATCGTTTACTACTAATATTATTATAATACTAACAAATTTTGTTTTGTTTCACGTTGATGTTTCAATATAAACTTTTTTTTAATAAAACACGATTTTTTATTTTTGTTAACTTAACAATGACTTTCAAACTGCATTTTTTCCAACAATTTTTTTAAATTTTTTCAAGTTTTTTTTCGACTTTCTTGTGCCAAAACTTGTAATGGAGGTCCATAGACCTGATAACATTATATTATCCCAAAAGTTTTTTTTCTCTTATGGTTAGTTTTTCTGTACTAGTTTTTCGCTCCTCTTGAAAATTGGTAAAAATGGACAAAATGCGATTTGCAAGTCTGCTCCTCATTTGATTTGTTTTCTTTACATATTTGTGTGCTATATATGGTATATATAGAAAAATACCAATTTTAAGTTCGCTTTGCACTACCTGCTTCGTTCAGTCACTTATTTGAGAGCCCCTTCCGAAGAAAAACATTGTCTCAATACTCCCAGTCTGAATCATAGTCCTCCAAATATATCCAGCATATTTTAAAAGCTGTTAGTATAGAGAGTATACAAATGAAATTACACGAACAACATCTATCCTGCAAAATTATTTTTTTTATAAAATTCATTTTGTGAAGGGTGTAAGGGTGAACGGATGAGTGTATTGTACTTTTTCACGATGTTCAAATCATGATTTGGAAGTCTGATTTTCCCAGGGTGTTTGTTTTGCCCAGGTTTCCCCTATGACCTAGTGTAAACAAGGAAAACCATATATGTTACTTGTTAATAACTGAATATTGTAGAATTTTCAATAATAAACAATAAAAGGATGCGATTACACTGATTATTTTGCTTAGGTTATACTAACCCTATTTCTTGCTAAAACAACATGAGTCAAGGACAGCTTTTCGAAACTTTCTATTATAATTAATAAACTGTGAATTCTCTTCGATATTTAAATCTTTTAAAATTCACTCTACCAGGTCCAAAAAGACCAAACTGTTATTTGTCAATGACACAATTTTCACTGTCTCCTAAAAAATTCAAGTTGTATAACTTTGAGTTGTTCTAATTGACAAATTCTACTAGAGCCGCAACATTATTGATCCCTCAGCAATTTTTATTTAGTTCAATCGTGTAATCAGAAGTATCCTAGAGGAAATTGGGAAGAATGCAGGACGTATCCAGGTAGCAACACTGGATACCGGTATGGCGCTTCCGCTAGGTTTAAATTTGCTCTGGGTTACTGAAGCATAACCTTTTTTCTTATATATTCTTATATTATTTGTGATTTGTATTACTCCATAGTTTCTTATGCAAGTTATAGAAACAATTTGCCTGTTGTCAATCCTGAACAATATACTATACATTTTTATAAACAATTACGTTTAAAAGTTTTGCTGGTAGTAACAATTGATACTGGAATTCAGATTGTAGTTTAGGGCATCATAATGTGATGTTATTTCTCTTTTGTCTCCTAATTTTATATCTCTTTATAATTTTCAACAAACTTGAGGAACGAAAGGTACATCGCATGGCTAACAGAATCGCTGTACAGTGAAAGTTGTTTCTCTATTCCTTTTGTAGAAAATGACGCCATATATATGATAGTCAACATCATCTAAAATGCTTACGTTTTCTCAGAACTAATGCAACAAAATTAACGGAAAAATGAACGATATATTTGAATATAATGTGATTTCTTTTTAGCCAACAAAAATGTCTACAGGTATAGTAAGAATGTTTCTATGCATATTGTCTCAATTTGTTTTCAGAGTTTTTATAGTAATGATCGCCAGAAATGGAATATATAAGTAAAAGTACTAATTGATACTTACCAAAGTAACAGATACTTCTATAACTTGCTATAGAAATTAGGTAGTTTTGACAACAAAACACAAATATTAAAAACAATCTTTAACCTCATTGAACCCAGCAAACGTTAAAACCAAGCAATATTTTGAAACTTGTTTAACACACAGTGGTTTCCGTCAAAGGTGATATGGTGAACTAAAGCGTATTAGACGAAATTCTGTTGAAGCTTGAGTTGGGAGAGTAAGGTGCACTCACAAGAGTTTTCCAGAAGAAAGCCGTGTCCTCCTTGCTAGTAAAAAACATCTGGACCTTAGTAGGAGGCCCAAAGAAGTTTCAACACGGTGCTCAGTAATGCATCCATTATCATATTTCACTGAAAATGGGACCTGATGCCATTCTAACTCAATTCAATCGACTCTGAATTATTAAGGTCTTCATCACGCGTATTTTGTTCCGGTGTCTTTTTACGTCATTTTTCCTATCACTAGCTAGCGCTGCCTTCTATTCTTGATAGCAGTTATTCAGAAGCTTCTGGCTATGATGTTTCTATGATAAATCTATGTTCACACCTGAATCCAATCAATAAGTTCCAATGTTATTCGTTCTTAGTGATTCAATACCATTATCTCGTTATGCCCTTAGAAGTCATCCAGACCCAGTGTACCTGAGGGCTTCTCATTGAAGATTTAAGTACCTCTTCAATACTCTTGGCTTCTGGATGACCTGTGGTCCAATCGAAAGAGAGACATGTTGCAGGAGGGATATTCCACACAGTATCTTCTGATTTCGGAAGCGTTCGGTCCCAGACACATACACATTAGAAAAAACTCAAACTTAATACATTTTTGCAGTCATGGTATGGGATAGGAGGTAAGAAGCACATTAGCCACGACATCGCTATCAAAACAACATTGGAAACCATTACCCCCCGAACAATAAATCCATAACTGATGCAACTCATTATCAGTTTACAAATTACAAAACTGCTGTTTATCACATGAACACCATAATTCCATGGTGTTTCATGGTAATCTTCCTTAGACAAATACGTTGACCCTGTTTATCAAGATCAGTATTGAGCCATGGTTTCACCATAAGCACTCTCGTGGATATCTTTATCGAACTTAATTGTGATATAGCGAGCTGGGATTTTTGTTATCACAAGCATGATGTAATTCTGCACATTATGCGGTTTCGGAAAAATATCCGTGCGAAAATTGGATATTTCGATAAAAAATGTGGAAACCTCTCAATATTTGACGCATCATTTACTTTGCGCCTCGTTGAACTAGCGTAAACACACAGAAAAATACATTTCTAAATCCTCTGATGCTACTAAGTTTTATCAATGAATAAACAATTTAACAATAAGATATTTCCATTGCGTTTCAGTGGCATAGGCAGAACATTCTTCAACATCAATTTTTCTTTGTACGAATAAGCGACGGAAGTGCCTTTAGAGCCCAAACGCATGTAGCTTCATGTCACTTTGGTATCCAGACGAATTCGTCCACCAAGTATCGTTGTTGCATTCAATTTGCCGGAAGCGAAGTGCCTAGTGGGAGTTACTGAATAGATCGCCGCGCACGTGTTCAAATAGAGAAACATCATCGGGCAGATTATTGAATATAGATTCAGTGAGATCTGTCAACTGAAGCCTGACGAATCTGCAAATACTTCGATGTGATCATTGTCCTAAAGCTTAGGTAGCACAAGTATTTCTGCTATCATAGCGCACAAAGCGAATAGGCGTTGTTAGAGATACTAGTGTTTCCAAAGTATTTAGCCTCAGAGTGCCTGCGGAGGTCAGACGCCACATCACATACAAGAAGACATGCCTCTTATCTCTATACTATACGTATATGGGTATCTGCTTTATGTTTGTTTTCCCTTACAAGTGCACGTGTGCATCCTTGGACAGAACCAAGTTTCGAGTAGTTCGTACATAGACATGAGACCTATCGTCACAAAACGATGTTTATATACAAACACTCTCAATTTTATTTGCACATTGTTATTTACACCGTTTACTGTTATTGTCTCTGTTCCTGTATGTTAACTCTTAACAGCAAAACGATAATTTATGGTACACAGTCTCTCAGACTGCGATCTTCAAATAGTTAAAAACATTGAAGTAATAGAGAAAGCAACGAAATGCTAAGATTAGTGTTTGGTTTCGATCCATCAAAGGTTGATGAAGTTTCTTTTAAAGTTAATTTAGATTTGGCAAACATCAGCGATTACTGTAACAAACACTGCTTGAAGAACAATCCTAATAAAACTACTGCAATGTTGTACTGTTCGAAAAACTCCTAACGTGAATGAGGATTTGTGTTGTTTTGGATGAGACACTCATGTCTTTTGTGGATTACGCCAAGAATCTCGGTGTTACCCTTGACTTAAATATGAGATTCGATGGCATGTCTCTTTCTTATCTAGAGTAACGTACATGCGTTTCAAACTCCTCTATTCTAATCGATTCATCCTAAACTTTAAAACCAGAAAAAAATACATGGTGATATGCTGCCTAACTTATAACGCGCAAAAGGTATATGGATGTCGTTTTGTCTGCGAGTGCCCATTTGATGTATATGACTATTCAAGGTGAAATCATCTTTGTTTAAAAAAGTATAGATAACCATATTGTAGAGAAAAAGCGAAGGCAGTGTCATTATTTTTAATCTCTTGAATAATTATCTGCAACTATAAGTGCTGCTTACTCCCACCATACACCTTACCAGCCGTTTTTGACTTAGGAACACCTTAGAAGCGTTCACCGATGAACCCCAGAGGCACAAAGCATACAGCATGCGGGACTCAACCTGACCATGATACAACATCAATAGCTGATGCTCTGTGAAAACAGATCTCAGGTTCTTGAATAAATGTGCTTGTGAATTTATTTTTGATGATAGATAATCGCAATGTCCTTTAAAGTTGAGACATTGGTCTAAGTGGAGCCATAAAAACTTAGTGCTTTTATCACTCTGCAGTGCTGAACCGTTCAGAACAAGCTGAATCACTGGTATCGACTTTTGAATGTTATGGAACCTTATAACTGTGGTCTTCTCGCTATTAAGAAGTAACTGATTTTCTTCAAACCAGCTATTGATGTTGTACACTAAGGTGTTACATTTATTTATTAAATCAGCCTCGTCTTTATTTGATATAATGATGAAGGCATCGTCTGCATACAACGTGAAATGTGCTTCAGGGAAACATTGCTCCAGGTTATTTATATAAAGGGAAAACAGCACTGGCCCCAATGTAGATCCTTGTGGTACGCCTATATTTATGTTAACCATACCCGATTTGAGCCTGCTTCAGTTGACCAGCGTTGTTGTACGATTTTATCCACAGGTAGGCTGAACCACCAGTTCCATAGTCTGTTAGTTTGGCCAATAGTATGTCATGACTGACACAGTCGAACGCCCTACTGAGGTCACAAAATATCCCAACCGGGCATTCTCCTGCCTCAATACAGTAGACTAACCTGTTGATAAATGAATGACATGCGGTCATGGTTGATTTTCCAATACGGAAACCATGTTGATTGGATGATAGAGTGTCATTGCTTTCCAAGAACAGCAGAAGTCGATCTAAAAAGCAATACTCAACAATCTTGGAAAAACAGCATGGAACAGTCACCGGTCTGTAATTGCTAACCAAAGAAGTATCTCCTTTCTTAAGAATTGGAGTTACTTTTCCTGTTTTCAGGTTGTTTGGAAATACACCAGTGCAGAATGATAAATTAACTAGAAACACAAAAGTTTTGGTTATGTACAATAATATTTTCTTGACTAAGAAATTCGGAACTTCATCGGTGCCTGAAGAACGCATTTGTTTATATCAAGAGGGTATGTTTTATTAGGCTTTTTTCCTGTATTTGATAGTGTACTTTAAATAAAGCTCAATAAAGCTTACACGACCGCATAGCAAAAAAATCCTGTTCCGCCACTGTATAGGACCACTTCCCCCACCGCGACTGCCGCTGCCGTAATTCGCCATCCAAAACACAACGCAAGCGGTTCTGTATATTAAGTACCCAGACGTTAATAGCGATCAAGTAGTTCCACACAAGGATTTACAATCGCCACATGGTTGAGTGAAACAGTTGGTGGAATTTCTAATTAGACTTTTCGTTTGTGAAACTTAGAAGAATACAAGACAGTGCAAAATGGGTTCATCACACTCAGCCTTAAATTTCGGAGCTGGTCCTGCTAAGCTACCTAGAGAGGTGAGTTTCATGTTCAAGTGGTACTGGAAGAATTCGAAATATTTCTGTATCGAAACCTATGAATAAAATTAAAATTGATCATTAATTGTAACTGCTAGTTCGAATGTCGTTGCTATTTTTTACGCATCAATTGGGACCAATTTGTGGGTCAATAACACCACTACGATAATTACGTAGTAATACCTAAAATAATCATGCATTGAACTTTTCTGAACAATGACAGAAATATTTCTGTATATCTGATGCAATAATGTTTGGTTCATTCCTTTCTTTGATCTCTACTTTGAGGCTTAGAGTGATTATTTATTTAATATAAACAAGGTCAAACCATTCCTTGGCCTTATGTAAAATCAAACATTTTTTAAGAATAGTTGTTAAGAATAAGTGGAAATTTTGAAATAAAACAAAACTCCTACGTTTCTGGTACATATGTGTTGCTGGACAAATATTTCATTTTCGAATCAGGTCACTATCTATGTCACATAGAGAACTGACAAGCTTTTTACATATCACAAAAATTATTTTAAATAAGTTACAGTTATTAATTATCACAAAGCGGGTCTATATCCAATCGCAACTTTCCGAATTGACAATTGTCTTACCATATACGATCATATTTCAGCCTTGACCTCAACGAAACTTAGATTATATGTTCAACAGTTTATCAAAGTAATATAATCGTCCGAAAATTTAACAAATTATTAAAAAAATGATATTGGCGTCCTTTATCAGTGCTAATTTCAACCATAATAATTTCTACAACAGGTTTTTCGTGTACTCATCATTTAAACGGTAACAAACAACCAAAGAGCTGACACCAAAAACGAATTTGAGTTAAATTTTTTTTTACATTCTTCGGAAACTTTTTGGACCCAACTTTATGTTTGCCCAATGCCTTTTACCATCAATATCACTTGTTACAGGTTCTCACAGAAGTCCAGAATGAATTCTTATCGTACAAGGATTCGGGAATGAGCTTAATCGAGATGAGTCACAGGTCAAAGGAGTACGAAGCTATTAACAATAGCGCTCAACAACTAGTTAGGGAATTATTGTAAGTATTTCTAATAACACTTTTGAGTTTGAAAGCAATCAGCAACAAATTATCTCCATTCTAAGTGACTGGTATAAAATATGCCTACAGTATTCAAGGCGGATGTGAAACTAGCAATTATCTGCTAATTTCTTTCTTTCTGCTTTACCTTGCGCATATCATTTCTGCAATTGCCACACTGTGCATTAAATAAAATGAGTTTTTTGTAAAATATTATAAAACGCCCTTGCAATACGAATAACCACACAAAGATAATTTAGAATGGCTAACTCTACTATAAGTCCAACAATCGTTATCAAAGCTGTATGTTTATAGGTTTGCAGTATTTATGCGAGCTTTTTTATTTTTAGAGATGTGCCACCAAACTACAAAATCCTCTTCATGCAAGGAGGTGGTCTAGGATGCTTCTCAGCAATCTGCATGAATCTGATGGGGAGAACTGGGGAAGCAGATTATTTGGTCACAGGTAGATAACAACTCGCTCAAAACTTATACATTGTGGAATGATTTCATATATTGTGCACAAATTCGCTTCATTTCAGTGTTTCATGGTACCTTTGTATCTGTTATTTGTCCGAATAAAGTATTTAAGATACACACCTTAGACCGACGAAAACGTAATCGTATATTTTAGATAACAGACATCTTGTTTTTCAGGTACCTGGTCAAGCATAGCAGCAAAAGAGGCAGCCAAGTATGGAAAGGTCAACATGGTCTTTCCAAGACCAGAAACGCGCAGTATTCCACACCCACGTACTTGGAAGCTCAGTGAAAATGCTTCTTTTGTTTTCTACTGTGATAACGAAACTGTCGATGGTAAGCTTTCAATATATCTGTAAAAATATTTGAATAAGCTCACTGGTTCACTTACAGTTCTTGATAGATGTATAGTGAATCCACTTGACGACGTTATTTGAATTATCTTTCGTTGTTCTAGGTGTCGAATTTAACTACGTGCCAGAGACCAGAGGAGTTCCTCTTGTAGCAGATATGTCTTCTAACATAATGACCAAGAAGGTCGACGTTTCAAAGGTTGGTATTTTTATAAAAATTTGTCGCGTTTTTCTGGGTTCTTTTTTGTGTGGATTAAAACACTGCATTCCACAAAAAAACACTATTTATGTCTGACTAATTCTTATGTCGCCATTGACTGCACTATGCTCCACTCCGCTCTGCTCTAGTGTAATCTGTACTCTTCGTTCGCGTAAAAGCAGAGATCGGCCATTAATATCTTTCGAGTAGGAGACTCGCCCAACAGATGGCGCGCGCCAACAGAACTATTTGTCACAAATGATTAAAATATCGTATACAATGTTATACCTCACATCAAATCCTCAAAGAATTGTGATCAAATATATCTTCTTTTTAATACAGCCCTTTGTAGCATACTGTTTCAAATTTCATTCATTCTTTTTCTGATCCTCTCTAGTTATTTATAAATTAATCGTGAACTCAGTAGTAGCAACGTCTTCTTCTTTTCAGTATGGTATTATATTTGCTGGAGCCCAAAAGAACATTGGTCCTTCAGGTGTCGTATTAGTGATAGTCCGAGAAGATTTACTAGGAAATGCATCGAAGTATTGCCCTACAGTATTCGATTTCGCACACATAAGCAAGAACAACTCAGTTCATCACACACCTACCACATTCTCGTAAGTATCTCGGCGACTGTACTCTTTGTGAAAAATGTAAAATAATGATCAAAGCTTCGAAAAAAAGATTGCATTATTCATATATCATGGGACAACACAAAAGGTGTGACGTCTGTCAGTATCTTAACCGGGATGTTTGAAATCGAACTTATAAATGGTCAACTAACTTCGTAACAGTTGGCTAACTTTAAAAGCCTGCCCAAAACATTAAAAAAAAGCGCAAACCTAAGAATCGTAAATTTTCCAATGAGAACATCTGACCATCAAAGATTCAACCAAAACGTTCTTTCTCTTCCTTTCAGAGTCTACGTAATGGAGAAAGTCCTCCAATGGATCAAGCGTTGCGGAGGTGTAGATAAGATGGCGCAAAACTCCTACGATAAGAGCACGACCCTCTATAACGCCATCACCAACTCCAACAACTTCTATGTCTGCCCCATCGAAGAAAGTTGCAGAAGCAGGATCAACATTCCCTTCAGGGTGGGAGGTGCGAACGGAGATGACGCTCTCGAATCCAAATTCCTGGAGGAAGCCGAGAAACTCAGAATGTACCAGCTGAAGGGCCACAGAAGCGTTGGAGGAATCAGGGCGAGTCTGTACAACGCGACTTCAGTGGAGGACGTGAAACTCCTTGTCCAGTTCATGGAAGAGTTCCGGAAACAACATGGACCTAAGTAGACTGTGAAGGTTGTGGATTGTTGACGTTTGAGATGTTGTTTCTGTATTACGGTTTTCTATTTATTTTTTGTGTAAGTTTTGTAAATAATATATTTTTTTAAGGAGTATGAATTAGTTTTATTTAAAGTTGAGCCACTACATACAGGTATGTTTACTGAAGAGTTACGCATTACATTACTACCCAGATTCTATGTCAAAACAAATTTCGTTCATGTTTTTATTTGGAGCTGTGTAAGAAACACAAAAAACATGGAACATAGGGTGCATTCCATTCAATTTATATTCAGACTGTTCCCTAACTACGGTACAAATATGCCAAGTCATCATGGTTAGAAAAATATATCGTGAACTTTTCAAAATATAGGCTTAAAAAAAAATCGGAAAATCTACACCACACCCTGTCGTGACCTTTTAGTTAGTCCATCACTACAAATTTCAATTTTTTGATTGAACTACCTATTTGAACTCCTCTGATACTTATATATAGATCTTCAACCTCATCATCATATGGATCTTTCTTATGCTTTTATTTGGAAAAATATAATTACACATATCGCAATTTACAAAGTCGAGCAAACGTTTTCCAGTTCCTGATATTGGCATTTGACACAACATTTGATGAGATCTTCAAGGGCTTTGGCCATTTCCTCTGTTGAATACGGTTCGTTTATTGGAGGTACATGTACGAATAGACATTTCCTCTTATCGATACTCAAGGACATGTAGTAAATATATTCACACAGGTACCTAAAAAAAACAAAATTATTACTACTTCGATCAATCTATTTTTTCGAAAAGCGGTATGTTTAGTAAGCAAAACAGCGTGTCCCATATAACTTCTGAAAAACTGACATCGGCTTAGACATGTTGACAATAAATGCATGAAGCACTAGAGAAATTGAGTTCATGGCCAAATTTCAAGTACATGAATATCTTCGTAGATATCTTCACACAATTAGAAACTACCCAAAATTTGGGCGTCGAATCCATGTTCTTCTTTCCATTCCCATTAATTTTGGCGGATTACGGTCGTTGCAGGCGTCACCTCGTCCATAATTAATTATTCATATTCATGGAATTGAAAAGAGACTATTTTCTACAAAGCCATTTCGAGGTCGAATCAAGAGATTGAAAACAATTTGCTCTAGTAAAAATGTTCGACAGCACAGTTATCAGATTTTCGGGGCTTACCCATGAGTGACCTTGACCATGACATCGATCATGACCTACAACACGACATTGATCATGACCTTGACCTTGACTGTGAACTTTGCCTTGACCTTAGCCTTGACCATGACCTTGACCATGACTCTGACCATGACCTTCCAGGTTAAGTCAAGATTCAGAAAACGCACCTATTATTTTTAAAACTGAATATGGAAAAAGCCGGATATTTTACGTCTAAATGTGACCAAGATCATGTCAAGCTTGAATGTTTTTTGAAGTCAAGGTCACGTTTATACGTGAAATTGCTTGCTTTTTCCAGCTCCAGTATAAGAATGACTGGTTTATTTTGAAAATGTTGGTTTCAGCCTGGAGGTGCTAGTCAAGGACTCGGCCAAGGTCACTCTTGGTTGAGCACTACAGACCTCACATCTGTGTTGATATCTTCACACAATTAGAAACTTCCCAAAATTTGGGTGTCTTCTTTCCATTCCCATTCATTTTGGTGGATTATAGTCGTTACAGGCGTGATCTCGTCCATAATTAATTATTCGTATTGGAATTGACAAGAGACTATTTTCTTCAAGGCCATTTCGAGGTCGAATCAAGAGATTGAAAACAATTTCCTCTAGTAATAATGTTCGACAGCTCAGTTGTCAGGTTTGTGGGGCTCACCTATGGGTGACCTTGACCATGACATTGATCATGACCTTGACATTGATCATAACCGTGAACTCGGCCGTGACTATGGCCTTGAATTTAGCCTTGACCATGACCTTGATCATGACTCTGACCATGACCTTCAAGGTTAAGTCAAAATTCATAAAAGACACCTATTATTTCTAAAATGAAAATGGAAAAAGCAGGATATGTTACCCCCAAATGTGACCTTGACGCTGAGGTCAAGATCGTGTCAAACCTGAATGTTATTTGAAGTCAATGTCAGATTTAGACGTGAAATTTCTTGCTTTTTCCAACTTCAGTATAAGAATGAATCGCTTATTTTGAAAATATTGGTTTCAGCCTGGAGGTGCTAGTCAAGGACTCGGCCAAGGTTACCCTTGGTTGTCCAGTACAGACCTCACATTAGTCTTGAAGAGAATTTTTGCTAGAACAAATAATTTTTGGTGTCTTTGAGGAAATGGTCAAGGTCGTGGTAACGGTCATACTCAGACGTAAGATTTCCTCTTCTTTTCAACACCTTGTAATGGCTTTGAATGTTGTGATCAAGGTCATTGCCAAATTCATCGTCATGTTTAGACGGGGGGATCAAACTGGAATATGCTGTATAATAAGTGATTCATGCAGATTTCCAGGAATGTCCAAGAGGCACAAATAAGGAGATTTTAACTTTTTGGGTAAGTTTTGTCTATCACGTACCTTCCAGCATTGCAAGACGTGCAAAACTTGACATTTCCAGTGTTATTCAAATGTTCGCATATTGCTTCAGTATCTATAGCTGTATAGATGCAATCCTCATTGCTACATTTTGACTGGCCTGAGCAATGCGTGTTACCCTGTGCGTCACACTTTACGTACCCCGTTCGGTATGCACATTTTTCTATCGTAAGTTTTGATGCGTAGGAAGAGACTCCCACGTGAATGACAAGCTAAAACGTTAAAGAGCACATAATGTTTAGGAGGTATCACTCCACAATATACAGGGTATCCTGAAAATTGGGACTTTCCTTTTCAGAGCGACTTACGTCTACAATAACAAAGCTAATTTAATTCACCGAAAACTTAAAAAGATAATTGAAGAAAGATAATCACTATTCATTTGTTAAGGAATTTCTTGCTTTGCTGCTATTGTTTGCCACACTCAAATATTCTGTTGATATCCTGTTTCACGATATGATCATTCGTGGATGAAAAAATCGTTAAACGTTTACGATTTAACGATATGGTCAAATTTCGTTGACCAGTTCATGAAATTCTCGATCATTTCATAAAATGGCCAACTCTACCATATACGAGTATGTACGATAAAGATGCATTGCTTGCGTTTTTTTTTTTAAATGATGGTCAAAGATCAAAAAATATTTTAGTTCTATTTTTGTAAACTGAGCTTTTTAGGAAATCCCATCCAAACTTGGAGTGGTGTCTCTTTACCAGAGTTCTTGTTGTTAATATGTTTATTTTCCAGTCGCTGGTATTTAAGATTGAATAGTTGAATACGTACCAAAGGCTTAAGCTCCTTCCACAAAGCTGGTACTACACTATCGACGACATTATATACAACCGGAATTTCTTTTTTGACGATGGATATACCATCAATACTGTCCGGTAATAATTTTACAGCCTCCCAACTAGCGTTCCTTTTATGTACTCCAAATTCTCCAAATCCGGTAACAAGAATTGTATCGCTCATTATCGTAAAAATTAAGTCACTCTAGTGAAAATCTTCATTTGCACTATTTATTATACAAGTATTTTTGTTCTGTAAAAATACTAAGATTTTAGAAGAGCTTACCTTAATTGTTTCAGAATAATTATGTTTTGATGTAAAGCATTTACATATCATATAACCTTATTTATACAGGTAAATGAAACATTTTTATTTTACCTCAGATAAGATGTATTACTAAAGATAAAATGAATTGATAAGGCAAAACGTGCAAAAATGTATAGAGTTAAATAATTTGTCAATCGAGATGAATTGGAATATAGGTCAATTTATATGTGCTTGCGAGAATAACGGAAATTATGTGAGTTTCTATCATAGGAAATTAAGCAGAAAAAAACGAACGTCTACCCAGGGTTTAGTAAGAAAGAATCCAGGTACAAGTTAATAGTTATATGGTTTATATATATTTTGCGTGTGGGGATTCTAAAAACATAACCTAAACACAAGTTACCAAACAAAAACCAATAACCGATGTGCCCCCACAGCTGTTGAACAACGTTGTCAAGTCTAAAATGTCAAATTCTTTTAGATGTAATATCAGAAACGCGGATTGCTAACATCTCAGAATATGGGTAGATTTATCTTAAAATCTTCCAACAAGCAGTTTCTAGTGAACTAGTTCAGAAGTAGCCATGAATCATTTTCCTGCGCATACTGTTCAGTGTGTTCAGAACTAGTTCCAAACTGTTCTTTCGGAGCGGCTTTCTGTATACAGAACTGCTGTACTTTAAGGAAGCTAAGAAAACGATATGAAAGATTTAAGAAAAGATCTTGGTGAGATATCTTAAAGAAATATTACAAAGATTATGTTTTTGTACACCTGGCAGAATGTGCTATTTTGCGTTTTGTGGAAGCGTTCTTTGCTACAGTAGCAGATGAGGAAAATGGAGAGAAACTTTAACGAGACCAAGGTATCAGGTTGACTCAAAATGCAACAAATATATACGACTAGTATTACTAATAACACATTTGAAGCAAACTAAATAAAATTATCGACCCTCTTGCCTATGTAATTATCATTTCTGGTCCTTCTAGAATCAGCTAAAGATCTTCATATTTATTTGAATCTGTTCCAAAGTAATCTTCATCGTCACCCATTTTTTAAAAAAAATGTTAAATGAACAACACAATAAGCGGTTTAGCTTTAGTTTTGATACATAAAAAGAAATGCAGTCATTGCAAAAATAGCGTAACAAGATGAAGTGGCGTATTTACCTTAGGGCCAAAGGGCTGGAGGCGACAGGCTCCGAGGGGCCATGGCAAAGTCACTGGAGTCCAAGATTTTGCCCTTTTCCGCTACTTTTTGGAGCAGCAAAAATTAAGATGTCCAGTGCGCTGTATTTAATGTGAGTGATACATCCGTGATGACGATAGAATCTATTTTTACTTCTCTACTCCATCCATTTATGCTAAAATTTCTGTATGGTATATGTCATTTACAAACGTCATTCATGTTCATAGTGCTAGATTGGAAGATCTTGAATAAAAAATATGTCTACTGTTTATATAACCATCCTTTGAACAAAATCGCATGCATTATAATCTACTTATGCGTATACATCTGTTATAATACGGTAGCTTAACATAAAGTGTCCCAAACGTGGCAAAAAGCAGGTTTTGACCAAATTAATTAAAACTCGAAGAAATTCAAAGAATCTGGCAACATTGTTTTTAGTCGCTTTTTCGTGACATTGCTATGGGAAGCCGGTAGAAGATCCAACATGGAAATATGCGTGGCAGTGTTGCCGAGATCATCCAGTCGTCGAAGCTATTACGGTGCTTGCTACATTTCAATACGTGCAAAGATTTAAATATCTCGAAACCACAACCACAAAAAATTGACAAAGCATTAAGTTATTCCAGCGCTTCGTGTTACAAATTAACAATTAAAATGAACATCTAGTCGATGAAACTGCAAAACCGTGTAGCCAACAGTAGCTCCAAACGCAAAAGAATCGATTTCGGTTCCAGTTAGTGTTTGTCTGTGTTCACTTTGATTCCGATTCCGATTACACGCGATTCCAATTAATGCCGTAATTTATAAAAGTCTCTAATCGGTGGCATGGAAGTAATATCCATTACCAACATATCTATAAAGTGGCTGTAAAATATTTTCCAAAATAATATTCTAGCAAAAAGTAGAGGTAGTCAAGTGAAGTCCCGAAAGCTGTGTTTTCAAACTTCAACTTGCAGTTGGAACGTATAATTAAAATCTTTTTCTGGGAATTTTATTTTATTGAAAATACTATTTATGCGTAAAAATAAAACATGTTTTTGTTCTCGATGAGGTAAGGGTACCAAGAAGTACCAAAGACTTTATTGTTTGTTATGCAGTATAGGGAGTATCAATGTTTGCGGTATATATCATCTCACCCTATAAAAATAAGACCGCTAGAGTCAACGCTTATTGGAGCATATGAACGATGATAACTTAAAATTGAAATGTATCGAAAATAAAATAAAAAACCTAAGAACAATTTATCACCAAGAGTTAAACAGTATAAAGGAATCTACGCGCTCAGGTGCAAGTTCGTCAGATCTTTACAAATCTATAATTCCCTGGTTACAGTTCCATCTCAAAAACTCAAATTAGCATGTGTGTTCGAACAACTCAAAGCGCAAGTTCTTAGCATGCAAGTTACTGGCTACTGGCATGTATATTCTCGTCTTAATTTTGCTTGTACTCTCACATGAAGTAAGTTTGAAAAGTCACAAGTTCGACTTTTGTCCCCTTGATTCTACACAATTTTGTATTCTTAGGAAGAAACGATCATCAACAAGAGCAAAAATACTGTCTTAAAACATCGTAAGTCTTTCTTAAGTAAATTGTTATCACCTGTACATTGGACCTATACGTGCTACAATGTTTTTTTTTTTTGATGGTTGGTCAGTTCCAGGTTTTTTAACTGAAATAGTGGGCATTGCGGCTGAATCCAGAGAAATGTTGCCATAATCTTGTCTTTTGTGAAGACGACATTATGTATTCTCTCGATAATACGAGCCCCTTCCCACTTCAGTTGGCCCAACTATTGAAATCTTAGTTTTTTCTTATCAAACACAAATAATAAAAATGTAGCAGGGTGTTATGGGTTTAAAATATTAACAATGAATATTTTGATAATATATAGTAGAAAACACCAACTTTATCACTCCCTAATCAAATTTGCAGTATAAAAATAACACATGTTGCAATTACAACATATCAACCTATTTTCATTTCAATGCAAAATAAGACTATAACGCATAGGTGGCTGTGAAAAATAAAAGCCATGACAATTGTTTTTATTAATCATCAGAATACGTTTAAAATAGTTTTGAGTAGTTAAGGTTTATAAAATGGGTAGAGGAAAGGTTATTACTGAGAAAATTCGGTATACTGATAATTAAATTTTTTAATTCTGGGAAATCAAACTCAGAAATTGCAGCTTTGTTAGACTTATCGCGGTACAGTGTGAGAAATATTGTTAGAAGATATAACGGAACTGGTTCAGTAAATATTAAGGCACGATATAGGAGAAAAAGTAATATCACAAATGCCGACCGAAGAGCATTAAGAAGAATAATCGTGAAAAACAGGCGTGCCAATTATTTACAATTAAGTGCTCTGTGGAGTGACGCTGTTAAAAGGAGAATTTCGAGGTCCACAACTCATAGAGAGGCCCACAAACTGGGATTTAGCACTTGCAAGGTAAGTTTTCTTATAAAAAAAGTGAAGTAAAAACCCTAAAGTTGCACAACTTGTTTATAGGCCAAAGAAAAGCCACTATTAACTCCACTGCAAAAGAACATGGACAATGGACACCTCAATAATGGTATGCAATATAATGGAGTGATGAGGCCCGATTCGAAGTTTGTGTTGGTGACAGTCGCAGTAGAGTTATTCGCAAAAAAAATGAAGCATTCCATGGTGACTGTCTAAAGAGAAAAGTGCAATTTCCAGCATCCATTATAGTCTGGGGCAGTATGTCATCAATAGGAGTAGGAAAAATTCATTTTATTGATGGAAATGTGGATACAAACAAATATTTGGCAATTTTAGAAGAATCGCTTTTACCAGGGATAGAAGAATGACATCCGGCCAAGATTTTGTGTTTCGGCAAGATGGTGCAGCGAGCCATACCTCAAAAAAGGATATAAAATGGATGGAAGAAAATAATGAACGACTTTTGAAATGAGTTTCTAGCAGATCTGTCACCTATTGAAACTTTGTGGCACGAGATGAAAAAGGTTCTACTACAACATCCTGCTCGTACAATCACCGAACTGAGACAAAAGCTTCAAGAAATGAGGGATTGTTTTACACCAAATTTTTGCCAAAACTTGGTTTATACTATGCCCCAAACAATTTCAGCCGTAATAAAAAATAGAGGTGATTTTACCCAATGGTAATCTTTCAATTGTTGCTTTGTTAACTTCGCGCATGTATTCGCACATTGTTTATTTGTTCAGATGTTCTACTAGTTATAGGTCTAAGTGATTTCAAATATGTATTTTTTCCTACTAGAGTGTATCTAAAATGTTTTTGAGAAAATAAATTGTTTTAGAAGTAAATAGTTTCGTCATGTTTAGTTTATAAAGGCATATTTTGGTACAAATCTTGAAGTGGGCCAACTGAAGTGGGAAGGGGCTCGTAGAACGTTCAGACGACTACTCACAACTGATGCACTGATGTACTAAATCTGTGATTGATCCGTACTGTCAAAAATGACGACCAAGCTGATACAGTTTAAGCGTTTCATTTAAGTTATTGTCTCCATTTTTCTGATTTCTCCTTATATTTAGCTTCAGTCTCGCAATCTTTAGTCGAAGCTTTTATTGTGCTTATCAAAAGAAGGAGTGATAGTCGAGCGTGTGCGTCAGTAAAACACAGGTAAGTTTGACCCAATCTCTGGTAAGTTCTTCAAGAGTAACTCACTTGACTTACTTGAAAAATGAAATTGCACATGTTTAGATTAATTCTTACTGTTTCGGCCACCGGGGTCAGGTATGTTGGCTCTCCACCTACAAAAACGCCATCATTACTCCGTAAAGGATTAGTTAAGCCCTCTGAGAAAAAACTAGTTAGGGATATGTACAATAGAGAGAATCAACGAATCAAGTCAGCCAAATAGGTCCATACAATTCACATCCTCAGGTTCCTCTGAAACCTCAAAAAATGACGTTTAAATAATTTTTATTGTTTCGTTTTTCTCTGGCGAAACTGGACTGATTTTCGTACAATACAAGGCTGTTTTGCATGTGTGAAATTTTCATCCAAATCCGGTCAGTACTTTCCAAAGTATAAACAGGCCAAGGATTACCGGGCAGACCTACGTACTGACGGAGATTGATTTTTCGTGATGTACTTGTCATGCAACATCCAAAGAACATCATTTTCACTTTTTTGCTTAGAAAGTGAAAGTAATATACGTTTGTACATTATGAGGTTTCGTTTAATCAGTAAACCATGGAGCCCTATCAGCAAGAAAACCACAGGATAAGCCCAGGTATTGAATTCGCATAGTGTTAAGCTTTTCCTTAAACATTCAACCTTGAGATGACGGATGCTAACATTATCCTAATGAAGAAGTTTTGTTTGATTGTTTGTTTTAGATTTATTCAGCATTAATGCTACAATGTCCAAAATATCCATATTACACAGTATATCACAAAATATATTCGGTCTCCAAGACTACATATTTTTATACAAAATTTCACTACTATGAGTTGTGGTTTTCCATGAGATATATTTTCAATCTCCCTTTGAACATTTTCAAAGGGCTATGAAATTTTTGATATTTAACTATTGTAGTTCTTTCAGCATAAAATTTATCCTAGTATATTTATTTTTATTTAAGATGATTCTCATAGCTTTATTTTGTAATATTTGTAATTTTGAAAAAACAATTTAAATTGCAGTGAACAAAATAGTCGAACAACATTATAAATGAGGAAGAATGATAGTGTTGTACACAATTTTTTTAGAATAAACTCTTAGGCTATGCGAAATTCTATAAAAGTAATTTATTTTCTTGGATATTTTTGAAATAATATCTTCATAGTGCCGTTCAAATTTTAATTTTGTGTCTACGTATATGCCCAAATATTTAAATGATTCGATTGACACAATATTTTCATGATTAATTGTAAGATTTATCGTATTTTGATCCAAAGATTTTCCTATTAGCATATATTTGGTTTTATTTGTGTTTAGTTTAAGTTTATTCACATTTAACCAATTTATCACGTTTTTCATATTATTATTTAACTGTTCTATTGCAGTTTCAATGTCAAACTTTTTTATCCATATTTCGCCTCCATTCTTCTATATTTGAATTGCTGTTTCAGTAGGATACTTTTTTCTGAATCCTGCTTGAAATTTTTTCAATTTTATTTTCTTCAATATATTCAACGACTGATTCCTTCTAAGAGCTTCTCGATATCTGGCAGTACATTAATTGGCCGCATGTTTGTATATAACTTAGAATTTTGCACTTTTGGAACAGGAGTAATTGTAGAACATTTTAATTTGAATTAAATGTCGCTTTTTGTAAATAGTAAATCTTCTGGCCCACTACGCTATATTATGAATCAGGATTTTCTACATTTTGTTTCTTCTTTTTTTTCCAGGAATGACTCGATACGGTCTTGGAGTTTTCATCCTAAGGGTAGTCGTGCCAATAATGATTTCACTCAGTAAGTAGAATGAATGTTTCCAGGATCTTTCTAGATATTTGAGACTTAGTGACTATCAATTTCAGGTCTTGTGATGCGACCTTCGATCATGTGCCTGATCTACCTTGGCATGCTTCTGTATCTACCGTTTATAAACCTCATAGACGAACGGAACTTAGATACGGGAGCATTCAAATATATCATGACTTTTGTGCCGTATCAAACTATGGCCACTCAGTTGGGGTTCTACCTATACACTCAAAGTACCAACGAAATATTGGAAGACGTAAGTAAAATCACACACATGAATCCGTAAGGAAAAAGCGTTCCATGTGAAGGAAGTAGAGATCCCTGACATAAACATAAAAATCGAGATGAGAATCGAAAAAATGAATTTTTACAGACATGTTACATCCCATTCCTTTATAAGCTTCAATTAGTTCACTCACAATATATAAAAATTTGCAGTAAAATTTTCCCGTAAAGATCGAGATGAAAATCCAATTTTTAGTATTGTCTCTCGGTTCGCTCCAAACCATTGGTACCGCAAAGGGCATTTTACGATTGTTGCCTCTTAACCAACCTCTTAACAACGTTACACAAGTCTTACAACATATGTAAGGGACGCATAGTTTATCTTGGTCGCCAACTTTAATTCCAAAATAAAGTCCGTATGCTTCCAACACAAGGGGAGTAAAAATACGTTTTTGGGATGTAAAAGTTAGCTCTCCGCATACATAACAAAAACTGTTCGCATGATTTACACAATTTCTAGGCATTATCCATTAAGCTAGTCTCGATCACAATAAACTAAAAACAACACACGTTTTAACAAAAATTAACCGTTCTCAGAACATCTCAGTACTCTTCAACACAGGAAACGTAACTGACTTGGCCGCTATTAGTCTACTAATAAACGCAATATTCTCTCTAAACATAGAGCTTGCATATCATAAACATGAATAGACAGGTCTTAACATTATATATGTGCGTCATCGCATAAACGCCGAGAAATGTAGCAATAGAGAAATGTTACGTATTGTAATTGATAAAAGTAGATGTTATCGAATATATGTGGGTGATGGGAGCATTCTGTTTTTAGATTTAATTTAAGGATCTCAAAATACATAAGATACACTCAAAAATTGTCATGTCACAAATCCTTTGTTTATCAGTGTTAGTACCCAAATTGTTGATTAGTTTCTTAAGGAAAAAAACACCGCCGCAGGTTGGCCTTATTCATCTAGTTTGACATGACTGCATTGCTGTTTTGGTTATCTTCAGGAAAACGCCAGTCTACGCCGTCTGCTCAAGAACGTAGGCTTGGCCCCTTTGAACAACTTGGACGCGCTCTACAGCGTATGTTGGTTTGGCCCAGAAGTTGTTATGATCATGGTCTCATTGCTGTATACTTGGGCAGTGAGGATGATGGCCAGCAAAGCAGCATCGGAAGACGTAACTGGGGATGCTGACCAAGTGTGGATGGAGAAATTCAAATATCTCAAGATTTCCGCCTCAGCGGGTACGTACTGATAAAAAAAAGATACAAATATAGCTACAACGTTTTGAAAACGGAAAAAGTGACACGTACGAACTAAGCTACACGTTTTTCACAACAACTGTTTAATCGACCACGTTTTGCGTAAGGATACCTAGCTAAAAACGGTGGATTTTTCAGGAAAATTCATCACCATAATATTCCTTCTGTGGTCTGCTATGTGGCATCACTGTATCTTTGGAGTGTGCTACTTTTTGATATTCCTGTTCTTCATGACCGTTTGGGCGTTCAACAAGAGTCTGATTACCACTCTATCCACTCTGTTATTCTTTTGCATGCCCATATCTATGACGCACACTATTGGTCAGTACGTACTTCAGATAGAGCAAGTGCAGTACCAGTTGTCAGATAGAAGTACGCAGTTAAGGTAAGTCGATCCATAAGCATTTTAGGATGTCTATTAAAACTTCGCAACCGCGTATTTTCTGGAAAGTTCCAAAAAAAGTTTCAAAGAGGGAATTCGTGGATGACTGCAATTATGATGACCTCCGAGGTCAACACTGCAAATTCAGATGGCTATCACCATTTTGGAAAATAGATTCGTATCTCTTTCAACTTGTCTTCATTTTCCAAGCGCTTTACATCAAGAAATTCATTAAGTTTGTATGGTGTACGCAACTGGTCAACGAAACCTGACCAGTTGCGTGTGAGCTTTTGACGTAACACGAGGCCGAGCGTTGTCGTGAAGCAGAACCCGACTGATAGAGATAAGGCGGTTTTGAATAGCGCACCTAATTCAACCAACTGCTGGTGAATGTCAGAAGGAGGAACTTTTATTGCGTTAAAACACTGAATCACTTAGCGTACCTCAGAATTGTATTGCCAAAAACAAAGCAGTATAACCACACAACCAACACCGAAAGAGACGTGAAACGTAATGATGGACTAGTGACCGTCTGTCCAAGAGTGTCTGAGGTTGAACGGATGTCAAGTGACAGGATGCGCGGGTACAATGCGCAATCGATCCCTACTTCAAAAATGACCCTCGTATTTTAATAGGCTAGTATGACCTCTAGGTGAAAGTGGTCTAGGAAAGATTCTGACGTAACTGCTGCATTTTATTTTAGAATACTTGGGATAGATCAGTTGGCAAATCCAAAACCAGATTACGGACCAGACTATACTCACTATGAATACGGACATAAGGACCTGGTCAGGTTACTGTATCCTGTCATAGTTTACGTGCTCTATTATTTCATGGTGAACGAAGCAATGATGCTCAATAGTCTCAACGTAAGTATGAAATTATGCAAATTTTTTTGTTTTTCTTTTGTATAATCTCATCCAAAAAGATCCTCGTTCAACATCTCGGGAATTTAGAATTTTTGAGTATGTTGTGAACTTTTTTCCGCGTCAACATTTGTGAGAAAAGTAAAAAAAGCATGATTACAATTTTATGGGGCTTGTAAGCGTAACCATTTTTGTGTCTAACCTCAAATGTTAAAAATACGTCTTTTCTCGCCCGAGTAAGAAGTTACAGTGTTATCTTCAATAAAATGTTCAGTAGTTGCTGTCATATCAATCTAGATATTGTATCAGGATTGATCAATCTTTTGACCAGAGCACAAGTCCTCCTTTCGATTGGTTTAGTTTGTGTGTAGGTCGCAAATTTTGACTTCCGCGAGTTGGTAGAGAAATTAGACATGCTATATTCTGTTTTTTTTTTGCAGAAATTTCTTACAGAACAGAGAAAAAGAGGCTTTCGAACACAATGGTCGAAAAGGATGCTAGTAATGGTTTGTATTAAATATTTTATCTTATTATTTTTATAACAATTAAACGTATTTTCAGGCAGCAAATGACTCGGAAACTGATAAGGTAAGCACATGAATGCACAATAGGCTCTACCTCTTATTGTTTTAAACCAGTATTATTCTGTACGAACAAATATTTTTCACAGCCGGATACTGGAAACCTCCAGTCGTTGATTGGTAAGAACAGACTTTAGGAAAAATACAACTTTAGTTGTAAATCTCCTGTTTCAGGCGAAAGTACCAAACACAAAATATGGAGGCATTCATTAAACATAAGTAGAAACATTATAGCCCTTATTGTGAAGTATTCGTATGTTGGAACAATTTGTGCATATGTGGTAAGAGCATCCTTATAGACATTATGAAAATTGAAAAGTGGAATATTCCAAGAATTCATTCTTAGAGCTCTGCCTCATTGGGACGCCATGGCGACGTCGCCGGCGACGCAGGCCTGGCTACTTGTGGCATCCGAGGGTCGCCAAGGCGAGTAGCCATGGCATCTCGACAGTCAGTTCGTGTCATCTCTCAAGAATGGACGCAGAAGAAATTGCACTTCTTTGTTATATACGTCGCAGAAAAAAAAAACAAAAAAAGCAGATCAGTAAAAAAAACAATCTTATAAACAAAATAGAGAAAAAAAAAATAAATAAAAAGTATTGGTTAAAAAAAAAAAAAGAAATGTGTTTGCATCTAGTATAATAGAAATAATATACAATAGAAATATTAAGTAATGGATGTTCTATTTTCTATTAAAGCATAGCATTATACATAAGGATCTGGCCAGTTGGTCATCGACCAGTGCCAATAACAGAACAAAAAAAAAAAAAAAAAAAAAAAAAAAAATGAAAAAAGAAAAGAAAAAAAAAGAAACTATGGGTTCATCCTTTTATATCTGATCGAAACCGAAGTGGCATTTTTTTTAAACTGTATGATGATTTACGAAAATATCCTGAAAAGTTTTTCAATTACACAAGAATGTCAATAGCATCTTTTGACGAATTATTAAACTTATGTAGAAACGATTTAACTAAACAGGATACGATATTTAGAAAATCGATTAGTGCGGAAGAAAAACTATTTGTGTCATTGAGGTAAGCAGTGTTTTATTCAAATTTTCAAGAATGAAACATCTAAAGTTAATCATATACATCTAAAATGGAGGAATCGTCTGAAACATTTGTCATATTTGACGGTGGTGCACTAAACGGTTCACTAGATAAATACTCAGTGCTGTTTATCATGGGTTGGGTTTCTCTAGGAACAGTAGAATATCCAGGGTGATAACTTTGTGACGACGACGATTCTGTTTGTGACCAGTAGTTTTGACAGTATAATGTACTACTATCAATGTTGAGCACAGGGCGGGTTGCTTCATCAAGAATTGACATTATTTTCATTTTTGTTGCCATTTTTTTTTTGAGGAGGCACGTTTTTTAAGGTGCTAACTAAAGACAGCATGAATAACCTTTCGTCATCTTGATTCTCAACCTCATATTGTTCTCTACTACTAAGTTACGGTCGCAATAATCATTTGATGAACTATCCCAAAAGCAAGGCCGGTTTTGAATTTCTATTATAAATTTTTCAGTATCGAAACTCATTTTTCACATCAACTATCAACTACTATTCCGAGCGAGGGTCCAAAGTGGCGGCTGACTGGCGACTGAGTGAGCGAGGTACAGCTAACATGTGTACAATATGATGGCAACGACGCCACGGCGCCAGAGTAGCCAGTCGCCACGTAGGGAGCTGTAGTTTGTGGCCACGCTTCCATCTTGGCGACGTCGCCACACCGTCGCCAAGTGAGGGAGGTACCATACATTCCAATATGAACTGTTTGGATACGTAACCGGCGACGTCGCCATGGCGTCCCAATGAGGCAGAGCTCTTAGGCGTAATACGCTTTAATGTGAGGTAATAAGTTTTGCGGCGGCCCGTCCTCTTGATCAGACACCACCTTGATGAGGTCAACTTCAGGATAAGCTAGACCTTAACTTCCGTGTCTTTAATCATCCTTGTTTCTTGGGCCGGTGGTGAAGCCATGTATCTTTGAATTACTGTGAGCTGAGGCTTCTCGTTTTCAGAGTTGGAATTTGTATTTTTAAGCTATTAGTTATTTTCTAGCAAACCAAACATTCTTTTTCAGATGTGGTCAGTGACCTTCTTGACCTGGTCATCTTTCGTGCTTCTGACCTTGGGTATAGCACTTTGGATGGTCCCAGATCAAAGAAAGGCGACAGTATACAGTTGCTTCGGAGTTATAGTATTTTCTTACATAGACATGACATATCTTTACATAGTGGGAATTGGTGATGGATATCTCCTCTCGGTTTGTATCCTGTTTAACTCTTTGCCATAAGATCTGTTTGTTTCAGATTTATTTAGCATTAATGCTACAATATCCATAATATCCATATTACACAGTATATCGCAAAATATATTATGTCTTCAAGACTACATATTTTTATACAAAATTTCACTACTATGAATTCTCGTTTTCCATGAGATATTTTTTCAATTTCCCCTTAAAAACTGACACACATTCTTCCAGAAATAACTTTTTTGCCACAAAAAAACGCTCCAATAGCTATTTTCAACAACAAAATGATAAACAAACCACGGGCGTAGTGAAGAAAAGCATTTACTTATTAAGTAAATTCTTTTAGTCAAATTTCTTCTGAAAGTAGCACAAACTAATCTGATGTAACTTTAAATGAATAAATCTTCAAAACTACTGAACTGAAGCTCATGTATTTTACATCATTATAAAGGGAATTGAAAGATCTTTAAAATAAGGTATCACTCAACCCCCCTTCCCATTTAAGATTTTTGGGTCGGTGTCACCCCCGCCCAGGGGGCTGCACGTGTTAACGTGATTTTTTGCCAAACTTGTGTCCCCCTCGAAAACAAAATCGACGGGTCTGAGCGTTTTTCCAAAAAAGAACTGAGCTGCCAGTAAATGCGTCTCTTTCGTTTTCGATGCGCCACCCTGTATAGGTTGAGTTAGTACTAGTGAATATAAAATGATCCTTCAAACATCATATAGCATGTATCAGCAGTGCTACACAGTCGGTCATCATACGTAATATAAATTGCAACACTATCTTGATGATCTCCTTGATTTGGCAAATCATCGGAATCGGGCACCATTTGGACCAGTAAAACCATTTATTAACGAATCCTCACAAAGTAATACTAAGCAATCCTGCCATTTACACTCGCTATAATGCCCCAGCTGTGTAATGCTCCGCAACAGCTAGAATGGTTAGTAAACAACACTTTCAAAGATAGGAAAATGCCACCAGATGGGGCACCAATTTGACTCTATCAGTCGATCTTGAGTTGTTGCTTACTAAACATGTATGGCTGGTATAAAACATAATATACGTAAAAAACAGTGCCTCGTTATTGGATTGGATTTCAAATAAAGTTTGCAGCCGCCTTACAAAGAAATAATCATTATTTGATCCCTTTTATAGGTTTGGGATGACGAAAGAACCAGCATCTTCCATTATGGCAAAATAACTCGCTTTATGACCTTGGAAGTGTGCATCAAAGTAATGTTCACGGTTATGTTTTGGATCACGATACGGAAATATACGCAAGACAAAGAATACGTTCAACAAAAAAAGCAGCTTGCCGAAAAAGCTGGAATGTCTGAAACAGGTAGTCACTTTGTGAATGAAATAACCTATTAAATAACGCATACACGCACGAGCTGGAATGGAATCGACGTCGCCAGTGACATCTTGTTTGTTTGGCATGCGGCAGAGATATACTTCACACAGTGCTCCAGAGGTGGTAACCAGGAAGCTTCGTAAAACCACATACCATCCAGTCATACAGGGTTACCCTTAACCGAAGGTTGACTTTCGGTTATACGGAAGGCGACTCCAACTTGCTTATCGTAAATAGGCCACCAGGCCAAAAGTTAGGCACAGGGTAATGTCGCAGCGCAATGGCAGTCGGTCTTTCTGGACGCTGGCCAAGCAGATTGAAGAGAACTTCTCACACAGTAGCCTTCCACCACTTACGTGTCAGGATGGAACTATTGTATTCGACTCAAAGGCCAAGGCAGAAGTGCTAGCCAAGATCTTTGCTGCCAACTCCACCATGGACGTCCCCACCAACGCCCAAGTGCCGTCAATTCAAAGGGTTCCCCACACTATGCGGGAGGTAACATTCAGGCATAAGACCGTAAGACGAGTGCTCTTGTCACTCGACATCAACAAAGCTTCTGGTCCGGACTTGATTCCTGCCATTGTACTGAAGAGATGTGCAGCTGAGCTTGCTCCAGTTCTTTCGCGTCTCTTCCAGATATCTTATGAATCCGGCACCTTCCCAGAAAACTGGAAATTTGCTCATGTACAGCCCATCCCAAAAAAAGGATCTAAAACCGACCCTTACAACTACAGGCCTATAGCTCTGCTTTCTGTTATAAGTAAAGTGATGGAGAGGTGCATAAATCGCGAGCTTCTGGACTACCTCGAACGTCACAGCTTGATTAGCGACAGGCAGTACGGTTTCCGGCACCAACGATCCACAGGGGACCTCCTAGCTTACGTCACGCAACTGTGGAGTAAACTCATCCAGTCTCATGGTGAGGCTCATGTCGTTGCTCTTGACATCACGAAAGCGTTCGATCAGCTGTGGCACGCTGCCCTCTTAAGCAAACTTCCATCCTACGGCCTCCCAGAAAAGCTTTGCAGATGGGTGGCTGACTTTATCTCTGGCCGCAAGATATCCGTCGTAATTGACGGATTCTCCTCTTCATCCCACAACGTCAACGCGGGTGTTCCCCAGGGATCGGTCTTGGCTCCAACACTGTTTCTCTTACATATCAACGACCTCCTTTCCTGCACGATCAACCCAATCCACAGCTTCGCTGATGACAGCACTCTACATGCAGGAATTCAGAGTGACAAGCCGATCTCTGCCGCTGAGCTGGAAAAAAGAAGACTAGCGACGACTTCTTCTCTGACAAGAGACCTGGAGGCTATCACTGCTTGGGGACGCAACAATCTTGTACAGTTCAATGCTTCCAAAACACAGTACTGTACCTTGACGAACAAAAAGCGTCCTAGCGCTCATACAGTTTCGATGGACGGTCGAGTTCTACCAAAGAGCCACTCATTTCGGCTGGTCGGAGTCCAGATCACCGAGGACCTGATCTGGCACGAACACATCTCTTCAATAGCTGCAGCTGCTGGGAAAAAGCTGGGCTATTTGTTTAGGGCTAAGAAGTACTTTTCTCCGCATGACCTTCTCACTCTATACAAGGCCCAGATAAGGCCTAGCCTCGAGTATTGCTCACACATTTGGGGTGCTGCCGCCCCGACTACATTGTCCATGCTCGATGCTGTCCAGAGGAGGGCGGTCCGACTGATCGATGACTCTTCTCTAACAGACAGTCTCGGGACTCTTTCGCACCGGCGGGCCGTCGGCGATCTAGCTCTTTTCTATCGCTACACCAACGGGCTTTGCTCCTCAGAGCTCTCTTCCATGATGCCGCCGCGCGATGCGCCTGCCAGACAGACCCGCCTGACTTCGGCATCCCATCCTAACCGTGTCAAACTTCGTACATCCAGAACTGGCCGATACGACCGCTCCTTTGTCCCGAGGGTGTCTAGATTGTGGAACAATCTACGGGAGGAAGCTTTTCCCAGTTCTACTAACCTTAGGCAGAAAAAAATCGTATTAACAAAATTTCTTTGGGATCATCATAGCAGCCGCGGTGTTTCGGCATTTAGGCTTCTGCCTGCGCGGCTGTTTCGATATAAAAAAAAAAAAAAATATATATACGAGCCCCTTCCCACTTCAGTTGACCCAACTATTGAAATCTTAGTTTTTTTCTTATCACACACAAATAATAAAAATGTAGCAAGGTGTTATAGGTTTGAAATATTAACAATGAATATTTTGATAATGTATAGTAGAATACACCAACTTTATCACTCCCTAATCAGATTTGCAACATAAAAATAACACATGTTGCAATTGCAGCATATCAACCTATTTTCATTTCAACGCAAAATAAATCTATAAAACGCATAGGTGTCTGTGAAAAATAAAAGCCATGACAATTGTTTTTATTAATCACAGCTGTCAGAATACGTTTAAAATAGTTTTGGGTAGTTAAGGTTTTTAAAATGGGTAGAGGAAAGGTCATTAGTGAGACAATTCGGTTACTGATAATTAAATTTTTTAATTCTGGGAAATCAAACTCAGAAATTGCAACTTTGTTAGACTTATCGCGGTACAGTGTGAGAAATATTGTTAGAAGATATAACGTAACTGGTTCAGTTAATATTAAGCCACGATATGTGAAAAAAAGTAATATCGCAAATGCCGACCGAAGAGCATTAAGAAGAATAATCGTGAAAAATAGGCGTGCCAATTATTTACAATTAAGTGCTCTGTGGAGTGACGCTGTTGGAAGGAGAATTTCGAGGTCCACAACTCATAGAGAGGCCCACAAACTGGGATTTAGCACTTGCAAGGTAAATTTCCTTATAAAAAAAAGTGAAGTAAAAACCCTAAAGTTGCACAACTTCTTTATAGGCCAAAGAAAAGCCACTATTAACTCCACTGCAAAAGAAAAATCGGCTTAGATGGGCTAAAGAACATAAACAATGGACACCTCAACAATGGTGTGCAATACACTGGATTGATGAGGCCCGATTCGAAGTTTGTGTTGGTGACAGTCGCAGTAGTGTTATTCGCAAAAAAATGAAGCATTCCATGTTGACTGTCTGAAGAGAAAAGTGAAATTTCCAACATCTGTTATGGTCTGAGGCAGTATGTCATCAAAAGGAGTAGGAAAACTTCATTTTATTGATAGAAATGTGGATACAAACAAATATTTGTCAATTTTAGAAGAATCGCTTTTACCAGTGATGGAAGAATGTTTGACATCCGGCCAAGATTTTGTGGTTCAGCAAGATGGTGCACTGTGCCATACCTCAAAAAAGGCTATAAAATGGGTGGAAGAAAATAATTTACCACTTTTGAAATGGGTTTCTAGCAGTCCAGATCTGCGACCTATTGAAACTTTGTGGCACGAGATGAAAAAGGTTCTACGACAACATCCTGCTCGAACAATCACCGAACTGAGACAAAAGATTCAAGAAATATGGGATTGTTTTACACCAAATTTTTGCCAAACCTTAGTTAACTCTATGCCCCAAAGAATTTCAGCCTTAATAAAAATATAGGTGATGTTACCCAATGGTAATCTTTCAATTGTTGCTTTGTTAACTTCGCGCATTTATTCGCACATTGTTTATTTGTTCAGATGTTCTATTAGTTATAGGTCTAAGTGATTTCAAATATGTATTTTTTACGACTAGAGTGTTTCTACAATGTTTTTGAGAAAATAAATTATTATAGAAGTAAATAGTTTCGTCATGTTTAGTTTATAAAGGCATATTTTGGTACAAATCTTGAAGTGGGCCAACTGAAGTGGGAAGCGGCTCGTAGGTTATACAATTTTCGAATTATACGCAAACTTCTAAACACAATTCAAATATATTCTATGCCTAACTAACGATTTTGGAGATATCTGCAATTTGTGTAAAAAATCACAAATCTCGCACAGTTTATTAAGAAGTATGTACAGAACAAGTTAACTACGAACATTAAAAATGAAGAAACTAAACAGCCGCACTTAATTACTCCATAGAAATCTTATCTCTGCTCTACCAACAGTATTGACCATGGCAACGTTGCTATGACTATCCTCGCTTCTCGCCCTACCACGCCACCCGCTGAACCACTAGTCTGTCACTGCACGACACTCATCAGTGAGGCTGCGGCGCAGGTGTATCCTGACACGAGACGCGTGTTGAAAATATTTCTCTATCAATTTTAGGAGCATACGTATGTGTGAAATATGCCCTGGGTTGAATTACTGGGACTGATAAATATACTAAGTCCAAGAAACTTAGACATACTCTTCACCAACCACCAAAACTTAACCCCCATATTTTTTTTCTTATAATGATCGGTAGTCTAAGAGTATAGTCTACAGACTGTCAGCATTCTGCAACCAACAAAACATGATGGCGTTGCAGCATGGCCATTAAGCGTATCGTGTCGTTGACTTATTCCTTCATGGATGAACGCGTTTAATGACTCTCACAGGAACTATCTAGGCAGCAAGTTGACATTTTGTCGGCTTTTTTACGTTTTATAGGTTTTTTACGTAATAACTCTGCCGATCCATCGTGTATAGTGTAACCTAAGGGTTAGTTAAAATGACTTTTTTATTTCTAGATAGTTTAACAGAAAAGCGCGAGACTGTACTGGAGAAAATCTGCTTATACTTCTTGGTGAGGTATTGGATAGTGGCTATAGCTTTGTTCATAATAAGTTGGTGCGTTTTTATGAATGTCGTGAGAATTTTCAGAATAGTGAACATGTTCGAATATCTCCTTTTCATGTCGATCTTGCAGGTAGGTACAAGTTTTCTGATCATTGTTATACGACGAACAAGTTATTCAATATGTATTGTTTTTTCTGAAACTCGTGACAAGGTCTTTTCGTTGTGTATTTATATTCTATTGTTATTTATATTACAAAAACGATCAAGTAATGTCAAGTCAAGTCAGGTAGTTCGTAAATCAACTCAAGTAGTAAATCCCTATTCAAAACTGTCAGATATAGATACTAACAATATGGTGATCAAGTTTAACATTCAGTGGTATGAAAAGAAAAGAAGAAAAAAATCCTGGCCCCAAAACTAGAAAAGCAAAAACAAATTTTTTGAAATTGAAAATAAATATATATAATATTATTGTCACAAATGTTCAGTCTCAGTACCATTTAACATTAATTCGACTAAGAGAAAACCAGAAACGTTATAGTCTCAAACTAAAATGCTAAAGTTTGTCATAAAAACTAAAAAGAATGATCGTCCGGGATTTGAAGTTTAAAGATATTTTTTTCTCTCAATTGATTAAAATCGATATATACAAAGTAGCACTTTTTCGCAAGCATAACTTCTCCGCACAAGTGCTACTTTCTGCATGCAGATGCGTGCTGAAAGTGAGTATTTTCCGTAGGCTGTTACAGAAAAGTATCACTATCCGCACTTGTTAGATAAATAACCTTTTTTGGAATTGATTTATGAGAAACTGATTTTTAATCATCGATTTTAAGGACAAAACAACTTTTTAAACGAATATTTTTTAACACCCCGAGCATAAGCTAGTGACTTTCATAGTCAATTGTACATAAACGAATATGATTTATAGCGAACAGACTTAGGTCGAATACTGAAATCTGGTGTTCCAATACGAATCCTGAGTACTGTATTCTAAATTGAATTCGATTACCCAATATTCAAACAAAAAAAAGTATTCGATAACAGCTGTTTTGAATACAAAGTGAGTATTCAAATAAAGGGAATCAGAAACGGTATTTAGATTCTAGGATACCAAGTACTGACCGAAAAAGGTTTCAAAATACCTAACACACAGATGTATTCGTATAATATTAGAATACCAGCCAGATGTACGAGGGATGCCCTTTAAGTTTTGCATATGGAAATAAAACAACACGGTAGGTAGTCTTAAATGACTTTATTGTTTTTCAAAGTATTCTCTACGAAGATTAATACACATCTGCATGCGGTCGAACCAAAAAGGCATTTTTGAATGCGTCAACTGTTTCTTCTGGTGACTAAAACCTTTGACCACACAGTCTGTTTTTAATTTTCGGGAAAGTAAATGAATCGTTAGGACTTAGATCGGGACTATATGGAGGATGCTCCAATAATTCCACGTTTTCTTCCGTTAAATACTGCCTTGTCTTTTGGGCTGTGTGCGAGCTTGCATTATCATTGGTGGAAGATGATTCTTCTTTCGGGGTTGACTTTAACAGTTCTTTGCTCATTAGGAGTAATTGTTGCAATACCCGCTTTTGACACAAATGTCGCGACCATCTTTTTCGAAACACTTCGAGAACGGATGACTTTTGTTGGCTTTTCTTCACCTTGGAACACCCAAACAGCCGACTGTCGTTTATTTTCTGGTTCATAACAGTAAATCCACGATTCATAAGCACTAACAATGCCGTACACATTTTTTTGAGTTTCCGGAATTGAAATGGTCAAGCGTTTTTTGACACCAATTAACATTGGCTGCTTTCTGCTCTTCAGTCAACAGGTGGGGTATCCAACGAGAAACTAATTTTCTTACTCCTAATTCTTCATGTAAAATTTTTTGTATTGAGGTGTTTGAGATCTTCAAGGACGCCTCAATCTCGCGATATGTCACATGTCTATCTTTAATGATGAGTTTGCGCACAGCATCGTCGCTAAGACTCACCCGTCCACGTTCTCCATACCAACGGGAGATTGTCTACTGATGTGGCGCTTCGTTGCCGAAAACAGACAGTAACTCAGCAAGGCATTCTTGTTGCGATAATTATCTCTGAAAGTTGCAATAAATTATGGCGCAAAAATGTTCTCGGTTCTGTTCCATTTTTCTAATGACTTGGTGACACTTAAAAATTCACTGTAGTGAGAACACTGCACGTATTGTTGTGAAACTTTGAATTTAAGTTTACTAAAGAGTGAGGTTAAGATTCAATACTGACGTTCGATCCGCGCGGCCTACTATGTTTCTATATGCAAAACTTAAAAGACATCCCTCGTATTCTAAATATGATTAAAAATAACGAGTGTCTGAGTACTACAAGTCTGATAGCGACGATAGTATTCAATTATTTTCTATCGTCTACTTTTTGCAAAAATGGTTTCAGATACCAAGTGTGATACATAGTCCAAGAAATCCAAATCAAATAACATTCGATTTAAAATAATACAAATGCTGTAGTTCTAGAATAAATATTTTTGATTTATAGCCTCTAGATACAACCACCATGATGAAGTGATTCTTCAAAAGCATCCATCAAACAAGCTTTTCTGGGATAGATTGTTGGGAATGTTCGAATAATAAGAATGATTTGTATTTGAAGAAAGATTTTGTTTTCAGCTCTCGTTCAGACTATGGCGAAGACTCCTGTTGAAATTCTGGTCTCTGTTGATTGCTGTAACGCTAATGAATATGATGTTTATCTATTTCTGTCAAATCAGGGGCATCGAACATTGGATGGAGGAGAGGTTTGGCATTGGGAAAAAATTGTAAGTTCTAGGAACAAAGTTTGAATATATTGATCGATCATTTTACTCGATTCAAATGTTAGTTTTACCCTGCAAAATGACATGTGCCGCCCAAAGCTAATGAAATCAGAAGAAAATGTGAGGAAAGAACTAAAATATAACTTATGTATGAAACAACCTCAATTCAGTGACTAATTAGCTATTTAATTTCGCTTAAATGACTACCTACAATATTTTTTATCGTTTTTTAGTTTTAGAGATTTTCTCGTTTTCTTCTGAACCGACACATAATTTTGAATCAATTTGGAGTGTCTTTAAAACGTTGCATTCCCTTTCTCTAACATCGTGTGGTTAATCCGTCTGATAACATATTTAGAGAAAAACTGTTTACTTGTTTTAGCCATGCTGAGTATGGAGCGTTAATTACTTCTAGTCGAAGTTACATTAACAGATTATTTTTCCCCGCTATTTTCGTAACGATGACCTTGATCCAAATAAGGTTCTTTCATGCCACATTCATGAGAATAACAGATAGCGATAACAAGCAGCTACCTGCAGAAATAGAGGCTAGTAAAGGTAACTATCTACACAAAATAGAGTATAAAAGATGAACCGAATTAGGAAATTCAAATCATATATGTGACGACATAAGGTGGGTGGACCTTGGGAGGCCATGCTCTCTGATTGGGCTTGCTAGGGCATAAAGGCTCCTAATTAGCAATTACGCAAGTGAAAGTCAAATTTTAGTAACTGATGATGTCCTCAAAAGTTAGATTGTCTTGAGAGTTAAATCCCTTGTAAAAAATTAGTGACCACTTACGAAATTAGAGCCTTAATAGACATTTGACCAAGTGGGAAATTTGGTTGATTCAAAACAACAACAAAACGACCTCTAACGAGAATTCTTGACCTCAAGGACAGATATAAAGGGTATTAACTTAAAATATGCCCTCAATCTTCATCCTGACTAGAGACTGAGATTTTGGAGACAAACAAATCGTCTGAATTCGTTCGTTACTGACCGACTCCGTAACCATTAACCATTAAGCCTTTTTTTTTATTTCTAGAGCAATTCGGCAAATTTTTCCGGCATGTCGTAGATTGGACCAACATGGCATTTCTGTTCATGGAAATACACATAATTAAAGCAGTCACTTTGATGATGTTCCTAATGTGCATTCTAGATCCCAGCGCCCTCTATTTCCTCATTTTTATGCCGTTGGCGCTCAGCATGATCGTCCCGTTCCAGTAAGATATTATACAGGGTGGCGCATCGAATACGAAACAGACGCATTTACTGGCAGCTCAGTCTTTTTTTTAAAAATGCTCAGACCCGTCGATTTTGTTTTGAAGTACATTAATTTTATATAATTATAAAGGGAATTGAAAGACCTTTGAAAGAAGGTATCACTCGACCCCCCTTTCCATTTAAGATTTTAGGGTTGGTGTCACCCCCGTCCAGGGGGCTGCACGTGTTAACGTGATTTTTTGTCAAACTTGTGTCCGGCTCGAAAACAAAATCGACGGGTCTAAGCATTTTTCCAAAAAACAAACTGAGCTGCCAGTAAATGCGTCTGTTTCGTTTTCGATGCGCCACCCTGTATACATATATAGGATAAATGAGTTTTTCTTACAGTATTTGGCTAAGGAAAACGAAATATTTATATCGATGAAAAAATATATTTGTTATTTGGTCGGTTTTTGGGTAGTTAGACCGTCGTCGTATGAGCTCGAAAAATATTCAGAGATATTCTTCTTGATAGAAAATATAAAATAAAGTTTTTATAAAAATAAAAATTTTTTCCTCGATTCTGTTGAAATTTGGCATTATCATGTGTTGTACTAAGAGTCTAATTGTAATTGTTTTCCAACGCACTTTCTTAAACAAAAAATAATAAACCAATTGCGTCCAGTGAAATGTAATAAGACGGTTTTTTTTTCAAAAACGAAGTGAGATACGAAAAAAATAAAAATATAATATTTTTAGATGATTAATCGAAAAACAAATATTTTTGTTACAAAAAAGGTAGTGCCAATTATTTTCCCCCGTCCCGTCCACCGCGACGCCACTGAACCAAATAATTTTTATCTATTTTGAGCGAAATTTGCCTCTTAAATGATATTGCAAAATTTCCACAGAAACGAGTTAATATTTTTTTTTAGATGGAGGATATTTTTTTTATCACAATGTAGCATTTCCGAACCCATGTTTATAAAAACTTTTTTCATATCTTTTAACGAGCAGTCACCCTCTAAATATAATGTATATCATCATCCATACAAAGAACACCAAAAGTCATCAATTCCGAACATTTTTCGCAACATATTGATGTAGATTCAAATTCTCCTGGTTGGTGCTCCTGGCACTTACATCCTCTACAATATTTCAGATCTATCCGCTTAGCTGTGATGTATTGGGCTGCGATACTGGTATCGATTTCTACTTTGTTCACATTGATATATAGTCTTCCATATTTCGATAATACGAGCTACCAAGTAACCTGCGAGGTAAGTATTGAACTCACAATGCGCTTTTCAAAAATTTCCTCCATCCCCGCTAATTTTTTGAGCGTGCCACATTTGCATACCTCATCTTAGCTGGAGACCATTTTGAAACGTTTTTTAAATGGAATGGATGGTCGATGGTTTGTTATGAGTCCTTTATACCTATAGAACATAAAATCGCTGCCTTTGAAAATGGGAAACTGCTAGGCGGTTAAAGTTGTAGGACTTTGTGCAGTGCATCGATCGCAACTATCTTCTTGTAAAAATATTGTGATTAGGTTGTTTGCAAAGCCTCAATCAAGAAGGGACAATGTTGAATCAGAATTTAAGACTCTATTCTGCTGTACAAAACAACAATATGGAAAAAAATAGACGTCATATTGACATTCTAATTATGCCATCTTGTGGAGCAGAATAAATTGCCAGTTTAATTTGCAAGTTATTTTAACATGCCACTACAAAGTCAGGAAAAAATTAGGAAAAATTCTCTTTTTTTTTTTCGTCTGTCTCCGAAGGTACCTTGAATTTCGAAACTTTCTAAGCGGCGTTTTGTTAATTACCTAAATACGCAGCTTATCCTCCACTTAAGCGACTTTATATCTCTTACCGTTTTCGAGATCTCAATGATGAAGATCGAATTTGAAGCCCAGAATATACATAGTCAAGTAGTCCTTGATTCAATTCAATTTACGACACTCTTGCGTTTCATGATTCCATTGGTTTCCAGGTAACAAAGTATCCATTTCTTAATAAGACAACCAGAAGCTTCGGAAAATGGGCAGGATTGGAGAAACACCGAAATAAAAATCCAGACGTGAGTATTCTGGATCTGTGTCTGTTAGTATACTAAATTACGAGATTAAAACGTGAGCATTTGTTACCGATGCGGCCAAACTCCAGTGATATTTGGATAACGAGCTGCAGACTCGTAGAAACCTTCATTTTGTCATTCTTAAAGTGATCTCAAAAGTCTCAGTACATCTCATGTTTCCGGCTGAAGATATAAAAGGTCAAATCACACATAAATCGGTTTTTGTAAAGGTTTAGCTGCCTATGGGTTTAAGGCTATATGCATCCATTATCCAATGTTGCAAAGCATTCTGTGACCCAGAAATATTTGGAGACAAATATCCTTGATGACGAAAATGATAATGAATTATAATCGTGAGCGACCGGAAGATGACTCACGTCATTATTATTAAAGTATTTGTAAAACCTTCCTGTATTTAAATTACAATCACAATAATTGTATGAAGCAGTATTTCTAAGTAAAAATATAATAAAAATGTATTTACTCGTTTTTTTTTTCTTTAATATAACACTGATCAACAGCCAAAAAATATCCTAAATAAAATCACAAAATATTTTTAATATGCTAAAACCGGAATGAAAGTTATTTTTTCAATATTAGTTCAAGTTTTAGAGATACGGTAATTATATGTGTTCCTGCTGTGACAGTGTTAATATACCGTAATTCACAAGAATGCACGTGCTACATTTTTATATTCGGCAAGGAAAGATGATGTAATCGGCATGATTGTGTTACGTTATACATACGTGTACATTATATTGTTTTTTATTAGCTATTTTTTCCTCAGTTGGCTGACAGCATTCATGCAAGATGTCTCGAAAGTGTGTAAACAATCCAGATCAGTTTTGTTACGTGTGTGGTGATGTGACATTTGCGTCTCAGAGACGGTCTATTACTCCACTAATAACAAAGGCATATCAGCTTTATTTCGGTTGTAAACTAGGTGATCAAGACAAACAGTGGGCACCCCACATCTGCTGTAATACATGTGCTTCAAGTCTGAGGAGCTGGTTAAATGGCAAAAAACGGTCTATGCGCTTTGCTGTCCCAATAGTTTGGAGAGAGCCTACAAATCATATTAATGATTGTTACTTTTGCATGGTACCTTGTGTTGGACAAGCCACAGGTATGTCCAAGAAAAAAAAATCGGTTATTAACTACCCAAACAGACCATCTGCGATGAGACCTGTGCCTCACAGTGACGAAAATCCTATTCCAAAACCCCCAGAATCCTACACTTGCGAATCAGAAAACGAATCAGATCATGGCGATCGAGTGATTCGTCAGGAAGAAGATATGCCATCAACGTCAAGAGATCCTGATTTTATACCGAGCACGTCATGCCACCAACCGCACAAAATAACACAGTCAGAATTAAATGATCTTGTAAGAGATTTAGAACTTCCAAAATGTAAGGCAGAGTTACTTGGATCAAGACTGCAGCAGTGGAACTTGTTAGAAGACGATGTTTTGGTATGTGTTTTTCGTAAACGCCACAAAGACTTAGAACCATTTTTCAATATGGAGAATAACTTGGTTTTCTGCAGTAACATTAACGGCTTACTGGCGGCTTTAAATATAAACTATAACCCAGAAGAATGGAGATTGTTTATAGACAGTTCAACATTGAGTTTAAAGACAGTGTTATTGCATACTGGAAATATTTTACCATCTCTTCCTGTAGGGTATGCAGTTCACATGAAAGAATCATATGACAATATGAAGTACCTATTGACATGCATAAAATACGATGAGCACCAATGGCATATTTGTGGCGATTTGAAAGTTGTTGCACTTTTACTTGAGTTGCAGCTAGGCTACACAAAGTTTTGCTGTTTTTTGTGTGAATGGGACAGTCGGGCAAAGGCACTTCATTACACCAGACAAAACTGGCCTGTTCGTTAATTCCTAGAGCCAGGTCAAAAAAATGTACAGCATATGCCATTAGTAGATTCGAAAAAAATTTTATTACCACCACTGCATATCAAGTTGGGCCTAATGAAAAACTTTGTCAAGGCATTAGATAGAGATGGGTCAGCTTTTCAATACCTGCGTCAGAAATTTCCAAGACTAAGTGAGGCAAAGGTTAAAGAAGGTATTTTTGTTGGGCCACAGATTCGAAATATTTTGAAAGATACATAGTTTGAAAACACTTTAACAGATATTGAAAAAACTGCTTGGAATGATTTCCTTCTGGTGGTCACTAATTTCTTGGGAAATAGAAAAGCTGACAACTATAAAGCCCTTGTCAAAAATATGCTGTCATCGTATCAAAAGATGGGCTGTAATATGTCTCTTAAGATACATTTCCTACACTCACACCTGGACTTTTTTCCTGACAATTGCGGAGCCGTAAGTGATGAGCACGGCGAACGTTTTCATCAGAATATTTCAACAATGGAAAAAAGGTACCAGGGAAAGTGGAATCCTTCCATGCTTGCAGACTACTGTTGGACTCTTGGTAGAGATGCTCCAGAAACGATCCATAAAAGAACAGCAAAAAGACAGCGCATATAGTGATTCTTATAAATTTATGAATCTTGTTACTTTTTTTAATATATCCTTAAAAATAAATTTTTTTTTTCTAAACCGCAACTAATTTTTTTATTTCATTGTCATTTTTGGATTCAGCGCCTCAAAATTAACAAAGAAGTGCACTTTTCCCACAAGATACAATTAAAAAACTAAAATTTGTTGTCCAGTGTAATTAGTATATATTAGAATATAATTAAATAATGGAGAATATTAAATGCAACGTGATAATAAATAAATAAAAAAAAGCTAATAATGCACAACTAAACATTTCTCAGTTATTTCTAGACTGCATACGGTGATTTTTTAACGGGACTAACGATTGACCAAAAGCGGTTAATTGTATCGGAAAATGTTTGAAAAAACAAGTGTAGAAAATTCATTCTTTACAGTATTCATAGTAAATGAGGGGGTGGGCACGAGACTTGTTGAGACTTTTGGAATGGCAAAATAAAAGTTTCTACAACTTACCGCCCATTCCGAGATTGACCCTCTTTTAAGGCTTGCATAATTGGTTCATACTTTTCATATGTTTCATATCCTATGTATGCATTTTCTACGTCAGAAAGTCTAATATGTGCTTAAACCTCATCAAAGGAACAAATAATAACAATCATCGCCTGGGAGACAGCGTTCGTTTTGGTATCTTGTCTACGGAACGTGGTGATAGCAGTTCAAAAAATTTCGCGTCTGCAACGAGGCTTATCTCCTGACCCTCCCAGTGTGATGTTCCCCGAGGTTACGTTTAGGGAAGCTGATATCAACCTGAAGAATTACATCAAGTACGTAATGAATTATGGGTTCTATCGGATGGGGTATGAAGTGAGTATGATTTATTGTACAATAAAGCACTTTTTTATATTCAGTTGTCATATGATTCTCATGATGTTTCGTCTGTTATATGGAAAATCATTTTTTGAAAAAATCGATAAGTCCGAAAGTGTACGGAGAACGCGTCGATTTACCGTGGCTTGGCGCTGTAAAAGGCAGTACACGCAAGCCACCACCGAGAAAACTATACTGGCGAATCTGCCTCAGTATGCTTCTGGAACACCAGTTCTGTGGTAACACGACATGGAAGCTCAAATCTCAAAAATTTGTTTGTTTATGGTTTATTTAGCATGACTCCTACAATTGCATTGTTTTAAAAAAGCTAAACAATTACATAACATACAGATATTTAAAAAAAAATGCATCTCTGAGAATGTTCACTGCCCATGAAATATTCCTTCAATTGTCTTTTAAGCATCTTCAAATTACAAGTAGACTTTATATCATTATTTAGTTTATTAAATTCAAGTTATCCTTCCTGAAATATTGATTTGCTAGTTACATTACTATTGCAATTTTGTAAATGAAAATATATATTTCCTTTTGTATAATAATTGCGGTAATGATTATTCAATTCTATGTAGTGTTCTAAATGTTGTGGCAAAATATAATTGTTCATTTTAAATATAAAAATAAGAACCAAATATGACACAAAAATTTTTATATTCAAACTGCAATTCTTGCGACATAGATTTTATTTTGGTGTACTTATTTTTATTTAACATGATTCTCATAGCTTTATTTTGCAGGACATGAAATTTTGAGAATACAGCTTCATTGGCAGTGAACGAGGCAGTTAAACAGTATAGCAAATGCGGTGGAATAATTGTGTTATAAACTATTTTTTTTAATTTGTACCAAGACTATGAAAGGCTATATAAAAATATTTTTTTGCAATTATTGAAACAATGTATTCATAGTGATCCTCAAACTTTACTTTACTATCAATATATACAGGGCGTCCGCAAAGTTGGGGTTTTCCTTTACACGACGTGTAGATCTTGAAAACATCATCAATTTTTCTTAGTACCATATACACCAATGTCTTAAGGGAACCGAGATAAAGGGCTCTGCAACATCAAAAATATCTGAATACCGTCCTGTAGCCGCGACTCGCGATATCCCCAACTGGTACTAGGACACTAGCTCAACCCGACGACAGAACTGGGTCGGGGGTCGGGGTCAGTGTGTCAGGTCAGTATGCAACCTTCAACCGACGGTTACGGTCACGCGTGTAGAGGTAAACGAACCCTTATAATCGATTGCGTTTCAAAAAACATCAAGCACTATAGACGTGGCTAGAGAAGTGCAAGTATCAAAAACTAAAGTGTGGCAAACGCTGCGTGAAGAGGGGCTGTATCCGTTTCACGTCCAACGTGTACAAGCCCTTCAACCTGACGATTTTCCAGCAAGAATGCGGTTTGGTGAGTGGTTGTTGCATCAACATGACAATAATCCGGACTTTTGGAAGTGCATATAGGTGACAGACGAATCTACGTTCACGCGTAATGGGGTGAATAACTTTCGCAACACTCATGTTTGGTCAGAAGAAAATCCGCACGCTGTCCGTCGGGCACATTTTCAACAAACATTTTCGGTGAATGTTTGGGCTGGCATGGTGAACGGTATGCTCATTGGACCATTTATTCTCCCAAATCGATTGGACGGGATGCAATACCTAGACTTTTTACGCAACATTTTGCCTTCCTTGTTAGAAGATGTGCCATTAAGTGTAAGACAATCAATGTGGTTTCTGCACGATGGTCATATTTGTTACCTCTGTTCGTGGTCTACTGGTCTGCACCACCGCCGGCGTCTGCTCGGTAGCGCATCAGCTGATTTCATTTTCTGTTGGAGCGGTATGATTTCGGGCAGAGACGTACTTAGCCCTTCTCGTCAACTGGAGAGTGAGTACTTTTTTCTTTATTTTTTTTTTACTTGGTCGCCCTCGTTTCACTACACATTACCTTTGTTATTTCAAGGGTAGTTGTTTCTGAAAAGGAAAACCCCAACTTTGCGGACACCCTGTATACCTAAATATTTAATTGATTCAACATTTTCAGTTATCTCACCATCAGTAGATTGTTTTCGCTAACTGAAGAAGGGTCCATCCGAAGTTTTGGCATATGTTTTCTACATATGCCTAGAATACCTTATAACTAAATACTTCCTTTCCAGATTAGTATGACAATGATTGTGATCGTGATAGTACTTCGTATGGACGGGTTCGCCATCATGTATTCAGTATGGCTTTGCCTGTTGTTGATATTGAGGCGTTCTGTGATTCGATGGATATGGATTGTATTTGTTACATTTGTTGCTCTATCTATAATATGGCAGTACGTAATGGCCATTGGCTTACCACCTACACTATGTATGGGTTAGTAAAATTAAATTAAAAACATTAAATTATTGACTGGATAACACAGTCGTTTGTTAGTGAATAGAATCTCCGCAAGTATATCATTATTAAGGTAAAAGCAATATTTTACTTTTGGCTTGGGAGAATTTCTTCGTATAGTGACTGCTGTAAAATTTTTAAACCATTACGTGACCAGGATGAGTTATCTGCAAGCACATAATCATTTTTCAGTTTGTAGTAGATTCTTTTTGTACTTGACTTTCAATGATTTGGAGGATAGGTTAAACATGTAGATGATCTTTCAAATATAGAAGTTCGAAGTAGAGGGAGAGAGATACGGAACCTCTGCGAATATCTAAATTCTGGACATCGTGTCTAAATTTCATCGTATTCCATAAATATTGAGGTATTTTGGTAACGATCATTTTATGGAATAATGTTGCTGAATGAAGTTTTCTTCTGGAGACAAGTAACTTCCTCTAGCTTGTGTCAACGTTGTGTCAACGTTGCGGATGCCGAGTATGAACCTGAGACACGACTTTTAGATTTTCTGAATTCGTCCCGTTGACTAATCCAATAATGTAGATAGTTTAGGATCGGTTCTTTTTTAATTCTGGCAAGCTTGTAACACATTTGGATACTCGTTCTAACTGCTAATTATTCTAGAATATGAATGGGAGACTCGCTCTTACTATTGGACAGTGGCTCAGGATTTCTGGTTCTTGGTGGACAACTATCATCCTCCACCAATTAGAAAACTTATCCCAGAAAGCATCCTCTTAATGTTCGCCTCCCAACAATTGATGTGCTTTTGGACAGAGATCAGGACCTCACGGAATAAAATCGACTATGATGGTGGTTCGAACGATTCGATAATTCACCATTTCGAAAAGCCTGGATTCGTGATTCCAGTTGCTGATTTCACCACATATACCACGTGAGAATTTCATTATTTTATTACGTCTTTCGAAGCATTGTAGCTTGATGATTCGTTCTCTTAGCAATTTGATTTAGTTCTCATCTTCCCATCTGAATTTCATTGAGCAACATACGGCGCTTAAAGCAGTGTCTAGCCATGACATCAATGAACGTTTTTGCATTACATAGCAATAAATTTCTAATATTTACTGTGGTCCGTACTGTCAGTATTGTAACGCCTTCGTTACTAGAACAATGGGACGTTAACGTTAACGCTTAGGCAACCAATGATACAATCGGAATTACGCTTCCGTGTATGGAGCGCGTTCGCATTGGAGAGCGTGTGAACATTCGTCATGCTTAAAGAGGAATCGACCTCCAACTACAAGCTTCGATTGAGGGCTGACATTCCACTTCGACGGCTTCTGGAAGTTATCCCTTCCTGATAAATATGGGGGCCGGGAGCAAACAGAGACAGTCAAGTACTTGACAGCTAAACGCGTTAGTTCATTCGACATGATCAAACATTTGTGATGAATTAATTAATTAATAATTTACTGATGATTTCGTCCGTGTCAATGGATCAATAATATACTAAGTGACATATAAATCCGAACACCCAGTTTAAATGGTTTTATTTTAATAAAAGTTGGTGAATGTATTTATCTTACTGTAAATAACAAGTGAAAAAATGTTCAGCCTTATCAGTTGGACATTCCGGTTTTCATACTGCTTTTTTTAATTCACTAACGCTCTAAAAATGAATATTTCAGCAGCAGTAAAGAATCAACGTTGGCGGATTTTGGTTCTTGACATCCTTTACGATCGGTTACGATGCCTAGAGTACGGAGACCTGTACGATTTCGTCAACTTAGTGAGTTTGATAGGGGCCGTATAGTGGGACTTCGGGAAGCTGGACTTTTCGGGCAATTGCAGTTAGAGTGCAAAGAAGTGTAGACACTATGGTTAGGTGTTCTCAAGTATGGCTTCGAGAAGGCCGTACGCAAAGAGCAACGGGCACTGGACGCCGCCGTAGAACAACAGACCGTGAAGATCGCCGCCTAAGATTATTGGCCTTAAGGGACCGTTTCTCCACTACCAGATCCATTGCAAATGAATGGTTTGCAGAACACGGAAGACCTATTGGCATGCGAAGTGTTTACCGACGAATGAGAAGTTTTGGCGTGTTTTCATACCGGCCACACTGGGTCCTCCCTTTAACTCGAGAACACCGACGTAATCGCCTTGAGTGGTGCAGACAACGGTCACTTTGGGATCAGCAATGGAACAGTATTGTCTTTAGTGACGAGTCTCGATTTTGTTTAGGCATGCACGATGGTCGTGCCAGGGTTAGAAGGCGACGTGGTGAAAGGAGGAATCCACAGTTTTTTGTTGAAAGACATGTTCATCACACTGTTGGAGTTATGGTTTGGGGTGCTATAGCTTATGGTTCCAGGTCACCTTTAATCTTCATCAGAGGTAACATGAACGCGCAGCGTTATATCCACGAAGTTCTAGAACCCCATCTTTTACTCTATCTTGACACCCTATCAGATCCAACTTTCCAACAAGATAATGCCCGACCACATGTTGCAAGAGTCACAATAGGCTTCTTTCAACATAATGATGTCACATTGTTACCATGGCCACCAAGATCTCCCGACTTATCCCCAATTGAGCACGTGTGGGATATGATGGGTAGGAGATTGCTCAATTTGCAACGTCCTCCTCAGACTCTAGAAGCACTTCGAGAGGAGTTGGTGGTTGCCTGGAATGAGATACAACAGGAGGACATTGACCACCTGATCAGAAGCATGCCTAGGCGCGTTGGAGAATGCGTAGCACATCAGGGTGCATCCACACATTATTAAAGGTCAAAGGGCTTTAAAGCAGTGCAATCATTTTGAAATGTTTATCATTTACTTATTATGCTTCATTAAGTACTTATGCAAAATTTTATTAAAATAAAACCATTTAAACTGGGTGTTCGGATTTATATGTCACTTAGTATAACTAGCGTCTTGACTACACGGTGAATAATACAGAGGTCATCAATTCGAATGTCAAGGTCAATGACAAGGAGTTGCTCAAGGTCACACTAGGCGGCTTTTTCTAAGCCGCTTCACAAAGGATTTCGCCGTTTGTGACTGCGACCTTACTGTACTCTTTTTTTAGGTCTTATTTAGATTTGGCAAAGAGGATTTTTATCAATATGTCATACTGGGGTTGTATGTGGCTCGTGTTCCTCGGCAGCGTGAATAGGGCAAACATTTTCTCCATCATTTACCTGTGCTATGTATTCATATATCTATGGCATGGTCTCAATATTTACTACAAACCGTTGCCACTCATACTAAAATAGTAAGTATCAACGTCACCAGTTTTACCATCCTTGAGTAGTTCAAACGTCGGATTAAAATGTCGTCTTTAAGTTGCCCCAGCGTTTAGATTTCTGCCAGCGTGGCTGCTCCGGTATAAAAAAAGATTGAGAATTTAATCAGACATGTTTTTAAGATTTTAAGGGTAATTGTTCGTTACTTGAACTCACGACAGCTTATGTACCTTGGTTCACCGTCGGGCTATATGGGGACATAGGGGAAAGAGGGGACGCCACATGGACTCTAGCGAGGGAACAGGTGTGCATGCAATGTACACACATTCTGGCTCCTCCTTAGAGATCCGCCAGGTGGTGCCTCCTCGTTAGATAAGAACAAAGATATACGAAAAACTAATAGGCTTTTTATGTGATTTCTCTAGACAAGATTAGATATTTCTCAAAAACTCTTAGAGTTAGACTTAGGATGTTAATTAACCTTGCAGCTGGAATCATTTGATAGTCCAAAACATACTGATAATCGTCATGAAGACTGGCATGCAAGTGATCGGTTGTTTCTATATGACAATCATCCCCATGGAATATTGCGGATTCATTAAGTTATTTGGTATTGGTTGCGTAAGAAATTTCGAGCATTCGGAATACTTTGACAATCTACATAAAGGAATAGAAATCTGTAGAGTCAGCAAATCTGAAATGGCCGGTGTCGAATGGGATGCGGCGATATTCTTTTTCCTGATGATACAACGCCGGGTCTTTTGCAGTTACAATTTCTTCCATATTGTAAATGATGCGAAAGCTCAACACGTACTTTCTGCTAGAGGTAAGTTTGTCCTGCTTTCATCCCGTTTATCTTCTTTCTTTTCTTCCTCTTCTTTTTACATATCCGAAAACCAGATGCAACCTCGTTTCCAGAGGTATTTGAATCCAAACATAGATTATTATTATTATTATTATTATTATGATAGTTGAGATGAGCAGAGTACACAGTACTATAAGCTCATGCAGTAAATATAGTGTACGGACACGTAACACAAATACATCAAATAGAAAAAAAATAAAAAAAGACAGTTCATAGCTATAAAGTTTGTACACTCTTCCAGCTATCATACTGCACTTTGAAGCTATTAACTGAAGTAGCACCAACCACACTTTCAGGTAAACTATTCCAGGTGTTGAATATGCAGTTGGGAAGAAACCACTGTCGGACTGTTGTTTTAAATGGCTCCTTATGCAGTTTGAAGCTGTGTCCGCGTAGATTGCTGCGCGACAGACGATATAGATGCATGAGGTTGGTGCCCATCAAACCATGAAGTATCCTGAACGTAACTATAAGATCGCCACGAAGTCTTCGCTCAGAGAATGAGGTCAGGTTGAATAATTCAAGGCGATCTTCATAGCTTGGTCTTCGTGCTCCAAAAGGGATACGAGTAGCCCGACGCTGTACTGATTCGACGAGATTTCTATCGCGCAGAAGCACAGTGTCCCATACCGGGCCAGCGAATTCAAGAATTGGCCTCACGTATGCCTTGTAAAAGCAGACGCAAGTGTTGACATCGGATCCTTTGAAAGACCTCTCCAGCATGTATAGAAGTTTCTTGGCTTTTGATGTCACGTGGTGAATATGCTCTGACCAGGAAAGACGATCGTTGACTCAACGCCCAGATCAGTGTGGCTGGAAACTGCTTCGATGTTGTGGTCAGAGATCTTGTATGTAAATCGCGGACTTGTCTTCCCGAGGTGAAGGACACAACACTTAGTTAGATTTAAGGATAAAAGCCAACTGACTGACCATTGACAAACAATATCAAGATCTCGTTGAAGCATAGCAGAATTTACGACAGTATTGTAAATCTTGGTGTCGTCGGCATAAGCTGAACATGTGGAGGAAATCAATGCGGGCAGGTCACTTGTATACAGAAGGAACAGCACTGGCCCCAAGACAGAGCCTTGAGGAACTCCACTTGCTACATGATGAAGGTGAGACTGGCTATCACTGACGCGCACAGAGAAAGTCCTCCCGGTGAGAAAAGCCTTAATCCACAGTAACAACTCGCCTCTTATTCCCATATATTCCAACTTGAACAGAAGCCTTCTATGTGGTACGCGATCGAAAGCCCTAGAAAAATCTAAGTAGATTATATCAACAGGAGTCTTTGTGTCCAGATACTGAGTCCAATCGTTGAGAGAGTGGAGAAGGTTGGTCATTATTGATCGACCAGGGAGAAATCCATGCTGATTCTTAGGGATAAGGTCATTTTCGAAAGCAAATGACAGGAGCTTATCTAATATGATTCTTTCAGCTATTTTGGCGGCGATAGGAACGAGACTTATTGGTCGATAATTTTTAGCAGAGGATTTGTCGCCCTTTTAGAACACAGGGATAACAGAAGCACTAAGCCAGCATGAAGGTAGGGTATGAGATCTGAAAGACGATGTGAATATCAAGCTTAATGGTAGGGCCAGTGCTGAAGCGCAGTTCTTAAGTACAGCAGCCGTCATCCCATCTTTACCAGGGGAGGAAGAGGTCTTCAGATTTCGCAGGTGCATTAATACATCTTCAGGCAGGAACTCAACTTCGCAAAGGCTGTTGGGACACCTATGGCAGATAGTGGTCGGTAGAAGGTCTCCATTAGGCTCATCGACGAAGTCATCACTAAAGAACTCTGCCAGTAAGTTGGCAGATTCGGCAGCATCCATGTGGAGATGACCGTCAGCGTCGCGGATCTGAGGTGATGAAACTTTGGAATTCAGGTTTGTTCTTAGATACCGAAACAGCTTCTTCTTATTTTTGCTTGTATCTGATAATAACTCTTAACAAGCTCCCCCACAGTTACACAGACGCATCTTGGATAACAATCAGATAGTGACTTCCCTGTGCGTGAAAAACAGCCGCCATTTCGCAGAGAGATGCGAATTATTGATGGAAATTCTTGAAAATATAATGAATTTGTAATTGTACAAGGCTATCGCTATCTACCATAAACGGAAAAGTATCTGCTTCTGCTATACATTTTTCGCTGATTCCATACTCGCAATAGATTGCATTTTAGTTCAAACACTGTTAAAACGCAACATTCACTGAATCACAATGAACGGAACTAAATCACCGACAAGGTAACAAAGAACGCAATCTGACCTAACCTGACACTTCTGACATATTACTTTTACCTTCTTGTTGCTTTGGATGCACTTTTGGTCGTTTTTATTCCAAGTGTTTCTTTTATTCCTTATTGGAAACTTGCTGTTGTGATAATTTATTCTATATCGTATAATTATAGCTATGAGCTGTTAGGCAATAAATACTGTATTTGTTTTTTTTTATATCTGCCCTATCTACTTGCTCTATTTATACTAAGTGACATATAAATCCGAACACCCAGTTTAAATGGTTTTATTTTAATAAAAGTTGGTGAATGTATTTATCTTACTGTAAACAACAAGTGAAAAAATTTTCAGCCTTATCAGTTGGACATTCCGGTTTTTATACTGCTTTTTTTTAATTCACTAACGCTCTAAAAATGAATATTTCAGCCGCAGTAAAGAATCAACCCTGGCGGATTTTGGTTCTTGACATCCTTTACGATCGGTTACGATGCCTAGAGTACGGAGACCTGTACGATTTCGTCAACTTAGTGAGTTTGATAGGGGCCGTATAGTGGGACTTCGGGAAGCTGGACTTTATTTTCGGGCAATTGCAGTTAGAGTGCAAAGAAGTGTAGACACTGTGGTTAGGTGTTGTCAGGCATGGCTTCGAGAAGGCCGTACGCAAAGAGCAAGGGGCACTGGACGCCGCCGTAGAACAACAGACCGTGAAGATCGCCGCCTAAGATTATTGACCTTAAGGGACCGTTTCTCCACTACCAGGTCCATTGCAAATGAATGGTTTGCAGAACACGGAAGACCTATTGGCATGCGAAGTGTTTACCGACGAATGAGAAGTTTTGGCTTGTTTTCATACCGGCCACACTGCGTCCTCCCTTTAACTCGAAAACACCGACGTAATCGCCCTGAGTGGTGCAGACAACGGTCACTCTGGGATCAGGAATGGAACAGTATTGTCTTTAGTGACGAGTCTCGATTTTGTTTAGGCATGCACGATGGTCGTGCCAGGGTTAGAAGGCGACGTGGTGAAAGGAGGAATCCACAGTTTTTTGTTGAAAGACATGTTCATCACACTGTTGTACTTATGGTTTGGGGTGCTATAGCTTATGGTTCCAGGTCACCTTTAATCTTCATCAGAGGTAACATGAACGCGCAGCGTTATATCCACGAAGTTCTAGAACCCCATCTTTTACCCTATCTTGACACCCTGGCAGATCCAACTTTCCAACAAGATAATGCCCGACCACATGTTGCAAGAGTCACAATAGGCTTCTTTCAACATGATGATGTCACATTGTTACCATGGCCACCAAGATCTCCCGACTTATCCCCAATTGAGCACGTGTGGGATATGATGGGTAGGAGATTGCTCAATTTGCAACGTCCTCGTCAGACTCTAGAAGCACTTCGAGAGGAGTTGATGGTTGCAGGGTGCATCCACACATTATTAATTTTTTTTTACGTATTATGCTTCATTAAGTACTTATACAAAATTTTATTAAAATAAAACCATTTAAACTGGGTGTTCGGATTTATATGTCACTTAGTATATTTACCGCCTTTCAAATTTCTCTACAATGCCCACAATACTACTGCCGTATATTTTAGGTGCAAATATTCTGGACGAGCTGTACGCAACAAGAATTAAAAAAATGAAAGATGATGAAAGAAAGGTAAGACAAGCTGTGGAGACCAAGTTGACCAAGCTAGTGAATAACCAGAAGAAGTTACAAGGGGCGTACTATAAAAATAACATTGTCACCCATAAAATGGGTAAGTTCCAGGTTTGGTATGAAAACAACTGCTATAACGTCAGGAAAATACCTTTGGATATGAAAATGAATACGTTCTAAAGTTTGTCATCTGGAATCATACCATACCATTTATTCACCACAATGCAAGCTGCTGAGCTGCATAGGAATAAATAATTGTGTAGATAGTCTAGAGTGTAAATAATCAATGAGGGTGTCCAATTTATCAAGTACTATTCCTAGAAGTTTTACTGATTCTGTTTTCGTATAACTATAACTTTCAGCTTGTACCAGACTATCTACACTCATGTTTTGGTCAAGTATAGACAAAAAGATGGTATCGTCTGCAAATAGGAAGCAATACTCAAGGGCAGGTCATTGATATATATTAGAAATAGCAGGGGGCCAATTATTGATCCATGTGGTACCCCGTTGCAAATACGAAAAAGGTCAGAGACGGTGCCCGAAGGCCTTACATACTACTTCCTGTTTTACAGATTCGTTTACCGAGAGACATCAAAAGGATCTTTTTATTGATCTCAAACGTATATTACGAGGGATGTCTTTTAAGTTTTGCATATAGAAACATAGTAGGCCGCGCGGATCGAACGTCACTACTGAATCTTAACCTCACTCTTTAGTAAACTTAAATTCAAAGTTTCACAACAGTTTTTTTACCTCTCCAGTTTTGTTGCTGTTTTAATTGGGCAACAGTCATTATGATGCTATGGTGGCCGTTTTGATTTTACTTTAGTTTGGTCAGTGATAGCGAGTTGATCATTTATTGTCTGTTCTCAGCCATACGATCTGCAGATTATTATATGTTTGACGACAACGAAACCGATGTAGAAGAACAGCGGAGTTTCAAACAAAGGGATGAAGAAGATCTGACTAAGCGCAAGAGAGGCAGGCGTAATCTTATTTCAGTATGTACATTACGATCATTATCTTCTCAACCACCGTTAATGATTTTTATCGAATTCCGTTGTTTTGATTAAACTATAGCGAGTTCTTTCCTAAGTCAGCAATCAAAAAAATGTGCATATTTTAAAATATATTTTCCATATGATGATTTTTTTAGAGCAATTTCACTATATTCACCTGAAAATTCAGCTTTTTCTGCACATATTTTATAAGTTTTATTAGTTACGGGGTGAGGTAAATGGTTCAAAAAACTATTTCATCACTCGGGTCTCTCAAGAATCCCGCATCTACGTACGGCTTAATGACAGCTCTAAGGAATTGCTTGAGAACTATTTTTATATACAAGTATAATAAAGAAATGAAAAAACAAATATCTTTTATTCTCTGCATACGGCAAGATCCACAACTTTTCGTTAGTGTAAAGAACAATATTTCAGTAACCTGAATCGAAATTTACATCCATCATATGTCAAAAATGGCTAACGTTTTAGCTATTTGGCGACATGGTTGATAGCAATATGCGCACCGCTGTGAAGAAATACTGGAATACTGCTCCGAACAGAAAAGGGGTGACGCAGAGAGACGAAGGAGGACCGTATGGATGTGAGTATGGATATCGACTTAACTCTTTGGAAAAGAAAATAGCTGTACTACTGTGAAATACAGCCACAGCTTAGATAATAATCTGTTATGCAGGTCTTGTCAGTGTCAAAAATGGCCGTCATTTTGGCGGAAAAGGACACATGTAAATTCTATATAAAATAATAAAAGCGGCACGCTTGTCCAAGAAGAAACGGCATAAGCATACATTTCTTATAAAGAATATCGTATATATTTTAGTATATCTTCAAATGCTTCTTAATAGAGAAGTTTGAAATACTATGGGATTTGCACTGATAGTCCCAGAGCTACGGGTTATTTATGCCAAAGTGAGCTTCACACCTTATAGTTCCTGAATAGGAACAATCCCTCAATGTTATCATAGCTGATTATTATCCAAGCTTTTGTATAACAGCCTTGCCTTTACAGCTCGGAACGTACACATAACCGTATTGCTATTTTTTTTTTAGTTGCCGAGAGGGTGATATATTTTTTCAAATTCATCTGGGCTGCTATGGATGTTTTGATTGTAAGTGCTACGGAGTTTTTAGGAAGATATACGATGACGTATGACATGGTGCGCGATGTCCTGAACAAAGAGAGACGTCAACTTAAAGTAAATATAGCTATTGTCCAATCTACTCAACCAATATTTCAAAATATAGAACCGTCTAAATCAAGTATACGAGGGATGTCTTTTAAGTTTTGCATATAGAAACATAGTAGGCCGCGCGGATCGAACGTCAGTACTGAATCTTAACCTCAGTCTTTAGTAAGCTTAAAATCAATGTGTCACAACGATACTACAGTGAATTTTTAAGTGTCACCAAGTCATTAGAAAAATGGAACTCAACCGAGAACATTTTCGCGCCATAATTTATTACAACTTTCAGAGACAATTATCGCAACAAGAATGCCTTGCTGAGTTACTGTCTGTTTTCGGAAACAAAGCGCCACATCAGTCGTTGGTGTGGAGAATTCAAACGTGGTCGGGTGAGTATTAGCGATGATCCCAGGGTGGGTGCACCAAAAACGGCAGTCACCCAGGAAAACGTCGGTGCTGTGCGCAAACTCATCATTGAAGATAGACATGTGACATATCGCGAGATTGAGGCGTCCTTGAAGATCTCAAAGACCTCAATTCAAAAACATGATAAATTAGGAGTAAGAAAATTAGTTTCTCTTTTTATACCCCACCTATTGACTGACGAGCAGAAAGCAGCCAGAGTTAATTGGTGTCAAAAAACGCTTGACCGTTTCAACTCCGGAAACTCAAAAAATGTGTACAGCATTGTTAGTGGTGATGAATATAGGATTTACTGTTATGAACCAGAAAATAAACGACAGTCGGCTGTTTGGGTGTTCCAAGTTGAAGAAAAGCCAACAAAAGTCATCCGTTCTCAAAGTGTTTCGGAAAAGATGGTCGTGACATTTGTGTCAAAAGCGGATATTGCAACAATTCCTCTTAATGAGCAAAGAACTGTTACGGCGGATTGGTATACTACCATTTGTTTGCCAAAAGTCATCACCGAGCTTCGAAAAATCAACCCTCAAAGAAGAGTCATCCTCCACCAAGACAATGCAAGCTCGCACACAGCCCAAAAAACAAGGCAGTATTTAACGGAGGAAAACGTGGAATTATTGGACCATCCTCCATATAGTCCCGATCTAAGTCCTAACGATTTCTTTACTTTCCCGAAAATTAAAAATAGACTGCGTGGTCAAAGGTTCCAGTCACCAGAAGAAGCAGTTGACGCATTCAAAGTGCCGTTTTGGATCTGCCAGCAAACGAGTGGGATAAGTGCTTCAAAAATTGGTTCGAGCGCATGCCGATGAGTATTAATCTTCGTGGAGAATACTTCGAAAAACAATAAAGTCATTTAAAACTACCGTGTTGTTTTATTTCCATATACAAAACTTAAAAGACATCCCTCGTATATACTATAAACTATGAACATTCCTGTTACCGTATATGTATAAGAGTAAAAAACAAATGTCTAAAACGTTTTCTAGGAACAAACCGACTACGATGTTGGCGTTAGAGTAGAAGGCTGGTGGCTACCAAGGGCGTCATTTGAAGGACTCATCAAAAACTCGTGAGTTTGATTTCACCATTTCATCATGGTAAATTTCTTTCATTTATTGATCACACGCTTATATGTTCTTGTAGTAAGTTGCCAAGGCCAAGGAGACCTCCGAAAGAGATGTCTTCAACAGATTTGCCAGCCATCATGAAATTAATGAAGGCACTGTGGGTCATCATAGTAGCTCGATCTGACTTGCTATGTTACGTCTGCGTCATCATGAACCAGATCATGCAGTGCCAGCTGATTACGATACCCTTAAGTATTATGGTGTACCTGTGGGGAATGTTGTCCAATCCTAGGTACTGTTACTGTTTTTCTAAAATCAAGCTGAATCAATGTGTATTTTGTTTCCGACATTTTACAGGCCTTCTAAAACATTCTGGATCATCATGATTGGCTACGTTGAGCTAGTGATTCTCCTCAAATGCATATTTCAATTTGAAATGATGCCAGGTAACAATCGACCCAACGCGAAGACGGAATATGGTCCATTGGAGATAGTCAACCCCTTTTTTCCGTCAAAATTCATGGGCCTTACGACCATGAATCTCTACTACATATGGGAAATGTTCATTCTCATGGCCATAGTTATACACAGGTCAGTGATAGATATGGTAATATTGTGAGCTTGAAAAAGTATCAGCTAGGGTTTCTATTGGATATGTTTCAGTTAATACTTAATTTTATTTTTTTAATAATGTCCGTACCTCACTACACGTGAAAGACAGGTGCGGATTGATATTCTTGTCATTCGCGGTGCTTAAGAAACCTCACTCTGTTCGAAGAACATCCACCTTGCCTAGAGTATTGGTACAGTTAAGGACTAATGAACGACAAAACTAGTATTTTCTAGTTTGTTGTCGAGATCCGCTAAGTCTCTGTCAACTTGTCAAGTCTTAACGGGGCTACTACAATCACGAGCACCATCTGTTGAGGTAACGGTGGGTGAAAAGGAAACGAGGGTGGGCTGGCCCTAGACGGTCGTCGGCGATATTTTAAAAGAGGAAAGGATGACTGCGGGTGCATACCAAGATAAACTTTCATAATAATAGAGTCGGGTTTCTATTAGCGATCTAGCCTGTAAATCCTTTCCTATTTTGGTACTAAGTGAGTGATTATTTAGTATTTTACTCCCCTTGTTACTGTTCGTCGATATTGTGTTGTTGAATTGTGGTGCTGTGCTCTTGTTGTTGTGATTGTTTTTGAGTGTCTTTATTTATCAAGGTTGATAATGGACAATAAAAGGTCATATGCGACCATTTTAATTACGAATGTAGTGATTTTAATTCATAATGAGGTCAACAATAGTGTGGAGCAGTTCAACATTATGATCGCAAAATACATTGGGGAGTAAGCGAATAAATTATTGCAAGAAGAGGTCATACCATGGAAGATGTGCTGCAGCTGAAGTGAGCCACAATACCCAGATACCTGTCTATGTGGTCTAAATACATTTGCGTTCTAAGCTTAGTCCAACCTCGCTTATCGCTAAGATGGAACAAAGACTCAAACGAAAGAATCTTGAAAAGAAACTCGGACCAAAAAAAGCTGATATAAAAATAACTAACAATTCGGATAGCAATTCCAAAGAAAATGAATAGTTTTATGGCGAATTCTGTCAAAAACCTGACATGAATGACATTGATTTGGAGGCTGCTAAGCAAGAATTTTTAGGGAAACTTAAAAAAAGTGACGACGAGATTTTGCAGATCGCACAAGTCACCAAATCACAGGACTGTACTTTGTGGCGCCTTCAGCGTCTCGATTTGGTGAAGTTTGTAGAAGAAGGCAGACAACAAGCTGTAAAGTTCTAATAAACTCCACCATATACCCAACAGAGCTTTTTAGTAAGGCAATAAAAAAGCAATACAAAAATCATTGGACACCGCAGTTCAATCTTGTGGTTTGTTTAATGATCGCACACATCCATTTCTGGCTGCATCGCGTCCATCTACCTATTACAGTAGAGAAGAAATGTACTTAATCCAGGTATAAGCCTACCTGTTTATTGCTTTGCAAAAACTACCTAACTGTTTCCTCTTATTTTGACGGCATAAGATATTTTTATGACCCTCATTCAATTGTTACCATGTACCACATGACCCTTGTAAACGTAATTGTGTTTATTGACATGAATAAACGAATTTGAATTTGAGTTCTTGAATTTATTTTACTAAAGATATCAAATTATATATTTTAATACATTTTTTCTTAGTCGGAACGCACCGTCGCATCGCTTGGACTGGCAGGACGAAACAGTAGACGAATTTCGCCCAAAAACCGATTTGCACTTCACAGCTTACGTTTCCTTTTTTATTATTTCCAAATGAAACTCTTGCAGCGTGCTAACAACAAAGTCCACACTGTGCTAACGGTCCACTTTTTCGATTTTATCTTCTAGGATCTTTTTAAAATATCAAGAAGTTGAGCACAAATTGTAAACATTTCAACCCACCATAATTCTTGCACAAAGACAAAATTTTGTAAAAAGCTCTGATAGCACCTTAGGCAATTATGTCCTGCTTATATCCAGAAAAACATCACAAACTGCAGAACACAAATTGAGGGTAACGGCGAAATGGGTACATTTCACGGGTCATGAAATTCAAATGAAAATGCAGGTATAAAATCTACCAAATTATCGTTCTCAAAAACATATTTCCTTGACATATCGATAAATTCCTCTATACTTGACTGGAGTGATCTCCGAATTCATTCTTCCCTACTGTCGGCAGTTGCAGATAGATCTGTTGGCTCTTGGTATCAAACCTATAGAGCAGGTACCGATTTTTTCAAATCGTGAACACATTATTCACACTGGGACCAGAAGCTTCTTAATAATAGAACGTGTTTCACTGATATCAAATATGCAACATTTAAAATCACCTTCCCCTAACCCCCACTTTTTGAGCAGTACAATTTTTTTATGTCAATGATAAGGAACCCCTGTAACGTCAAAAACGGAGTTTCAGCAATTGTTACTTTTTCTTTTTTGCCTATAGCACCCTTGCCATTGGACTAAAACTGCAAAGCTTTGGCATACTAGTAACCCCATGTGGAAATTTCATAAAAATCTGAGCGGTAATTTCCAAGTTGATGATGAGTGATATAGTTGTTCGTGATGTAGATGTCATATGACTTCGAAAAACATAACGTCTCATTTTAGAAATTTTTCGCAATTACAATACTTCCTCGTCACTGGCGTGGGGAGTAAAACGGCTTTAAAATCGAGGAGTATCAGTGATCGCGATTGTGAGTACCTATTTGCAGAACGACTTATCTATGCGATATTATATGAAATAGGGCCACCAAATTATCTGAATACGTCCTTTTTTAGTCCGTACATTGCGCCGCAACGCTTGGGTTGGCAGCACGAAACAGTAGACAAAATTCGTCCAAAATACGATTTGTAGAGGTTTGCGGGCTTCGAAGTTGACGCTTAATTTTTTGATATTTTTGAATGATATTTTCATAGTGTGCTGAAAACAAAACCCCACAGGATGCTATAGAGCCACTTTTTCATTTTTTTCACAAGAATCTTTTTGAAAAAATCGCGAAGTTGAACAGAAAAAGTGCTCCCTTTACCCATCATAAAACTTGTGCAAAAACAAAAATTCAAAAAGTGCCCCTATAGCACGCCGGGGAATTATCTTATGAACATACTGTATGAATTTCATTCAAAAATATTGAAAAATGAAGTGTCAGTTTCGAAGCAGCTGAACCCTTGTAAATGGCTTGAAACTCACTGCGTCGGAGCCGCCTTAAGGTACCACATTTTGGTCTGTTATAGGTATGAAAAATGTCAGCCTAAGCTTTTTATAAAACAAATCATTTTTGGCTCAATGTACTTGCTTATTACAGATATTACTTGACAAATATAGGCTTATGGTCAACTGTAACAACCAGCATCTTACCACATAGTTTGGACGGACTGTACGCTATGCAAGGAGGAGAACTCGTTAAAGTGTAAGTGAAGGAACATAATAGGTGATTCATTTATATGTACTTTTTTCAGCAACAAAATAAAATAACAAAATTCTTTTTTCTTGTCAAATCTTTTTTATTAAAGAAAAGAACTATTTTTGACATTTATTTTTTAAATATTATTTCTTTCAAATGTTGGCCCTGAGTGCGGTTGAGATGGTCCATTCTAAAGTTCCAATTTTCGATGACACGTTGGAGCATTTCGATTGGAATTTGGCGAATGACCTGCGTAATGTTGGCTTCTAATTCCTCAATCGTATTGGGCTTATCAATGTAGACTTTGGACTTAACGTAGCCCCAAAGGAAAAAGTCTAGAGGTGTGATATCACATGATCTAGGTGGCCAATTCACTGGTCCAAATCGTGAAATTAAGTGTTCATCGAAATGTTCTCGCAATAAAGCCATGGTTGCACGGGCTGTGTGGCAAGTGGCGCCGTCTTGTTGGAACCAAATATCATCGAGATTACGGGCTTCAATTTCAGGCAGCAAATAATCCGTTATCATGGCGCGGTAACGAGCACCATTGACAGTTACTTTCTGACCGGCCTCATTTTTTAAAAAATAGGGACCGATGATTCCACCGACCCATAAACCACACAAAACCGTTGTTTTCGCTGGATGTAACGGCAGCTCTTGAACTACTTCGGGTTGTTCTTCCCCCAAATACGACAGTTTTGTTTATTGACGTAGCCGTTAAGCCAAAAATGGGCCTCATCGCTGAACAAAATTTTGCTCGAAAACATTGGATCTTCTTCAAGCCGTGCAGGATCCCACAGACTGAAACCATGACGCTTTTTAAGATCGGCCGGCTTCAATTCTTGAACGAGTTGAATTTTGTACGGTTTCAAATTAAGATTCTTACGAAAAATACGCCAAGTTGTTGAATACGACAAGCCAAGCTGTTGAGAACGGCGCCGAATCGATTCTTCACGGTCCTCACGTATACTCTCAACTACCGCAGGTATATTTTCTTCACTGCGTGCTCGATGTGGTCTATTTGGTCGGGTATTATCAAATAATGAAAATTGGGTTTCAAATTTTTCGACCGTACGGCGTATTGTGCGTTCGGTGGGCCGATTATGTACACCATAAGTTGCTCTAAGTGCACGAAACACACTTCTCGCTGAACGTTGATTTTCGTAGTAGTGCTGAATTATTTGTAGAGGCTGTGCTGGACTAAGTCTTTCCATGATGAAATGTCGAACAATACTGAAACAGAAAATGTCAAATTAGTTGTCATGACGCATGCGCCATAAGCAATTACAGCCACACCAAAAAAGTACCTCTAAATGAATCACCCGTTACTTTGACGAGATGTGATACGATTTTCTTTGAAACACCGATCGCTATTCAGATTCCACACTTCTATTTGTAAATAGTCATTGAGTTCGTAATTAGAAACACCAAGAAGCGTATCTCCGATTTCTTCTGTTTCCCATAATTTGACAAAGAGATGAACTGTTGAATTATCATCGTCGCTTGTTGTTAATGCATGTTTGATTTCAGTGCCCAGAATACACCAACTGGATCAACAACGGATGAGTACATAGTACGGAGCATTAAGACATCTATTTTGGATCAGATACTACTGTCTTTTAAAACAATGTAAGCTTGACAGTAAATCTAGAAATAATGGAAAATATTTCAAGATGCTTTTGACAGAAGGTTTTGATACGGGCATGTTATGGCCGATGCGCTGTATTTTTCGTGCGAACAGCCTGTCAACAAACTGTTCACAAGCGTCGGTGTATACATACCTTTAGAAGTTGCCATGGATTTCGTAAAGGGCGATCTTTAGTCCTAAGGAGGAGTACACCGATCAAGATACTTGGGAAAAAATAAAAATATTAATAGCTCTTACCATTTTTTCAGATTTTTCCATTACGCAATAAGCTTCCGACAATTTCATCAAAGACTACTGATGCACGTATATCAAGAAGCAAGTGACTACTACACCGTGATGTTCTTTTTTGATTTCTGTGCTTTCGCAACTATCACCACATTATTTCCTGTATTCTCCGAGGTAAGTATAATGAAAACTATAGAGTAATTTCGTGGTAGCGACTATTATAGCAGCAAATCATAAAGCTTACTAATAAGCTTATGGTTAGCCTCCTCTACTGAATCGACTCACTTTTCCCCTTGGAGTAAATCGGTATGGGTTGTTCTCAAAATAATGTATCTACCACCGAAACTGCATTATACATGTTTAAAGATAGTATTATCAATACAAAAAATCACCCCTGGGCGGGGGTGACACCACCCCCAAAATCTTAAATGGAAAATTGGGTCGAGTGGTACCTTATTTTAAAGGTCTTTCAATTCCCTTTATAATAATATAAAATTAATGTATTTCAGTTTAGTAGTTTTGAAGATTTATTGATTTAAAGCTTAAATACATCATCATTAGTGGAGATCAATACATTTGGCAGCAAGGTAATTTAGAAATGAAGAATGAACTGACCCGTTAGGCAAGTAAATGTTGAAAATGGCCACCATGACTGTCCATGCAATAATAAAGATTTTGCTCTAAACGTTGCCGCACATTTTGCAATATTTGAGGAGTAATTTGAAGGCACTCATTTGCAATTCTTTGTCGCAGGTTTTCTAATGAAGTTGGCTGAGTAGCACATATTTTGCTTTTTAAATGACCCCACATACAGAAATCCTAAGGTGATAAATCTAGCAGTCTTGGGGGCCATCCAATGGCACCTCATCTACCAATCCATCGATCTGGAAACGTCTGATCTAAATATTGTCGAACACGTCATGCGTAAAGTGGTGGGGCACCATCCTGTTGGAACATCAACCTATTCGCAATGTACCGCCAATCATTCTGATTTTCAATTATGGCTGCTAATGCAGGATCTATGGCGTCTTCCAGTAATTCCAAATACATTTCACCGGTCAGATTTCCAGGTAAGAAAAAAGGACCAACTAAATAATCGTCAAAAATACCATTTAATTTTTGTGGCTGCTGTGTATGAACCTCAGGATAAATTCTGGGATTAGAATCGGACCAATATCGGCAGTTATGACGATTTACTACGCCATGTAAGAAAAAGGAACATTCCTCGGAAAAGCAAGTGTTGAATAGAAAATGTTCATCGTTTATAATTCGTTCACTCATATCATGGGCCTTTAGAATCCGTTGGACAGTACGTCGACTAACACCACACACAGTCTCCAGTTTGCGGGTACTTAACGTAGGATCTACATAAACTTGCCCTAAAACCCCCACTTCTATTGCTTCGTTCCTTATGGGATTTTCAATGTTGCGTTTTTTATTGGCGACTGACCCAGTTTCCCGAAATTTAATTATTCTCATGCCGCTCATTAAATATTTCTGCTGTTCTATTAGCACACTGATTATTTCCGAAAAATATTTCGATAATTTCAACTCTTTCTGCTGTGGAATATACCATGGTTAATTTATGTAATAAAGCGTTATTTTAGCAACAAAGTTTGGTCAATCAATCTCAAACTGTGTACTAAATTCCTATTTAAAATAAGTACGAGATATTTCCTTATCTTTCTTCAAGAAATAACTTTTTTGCCACCAAAAAAACGCTTCAATAGCTATTTTCAACAACAAAATGATAAACAAACCATGGGCGTAGTGAAGAAAAGCATTTACTTATTAAGTAAAGTCTTTTAGTCAAATTTCTTCTGAAAGTAGTACAAACTAATCTGATGTACCTATTAAAGTCTACTTTAAGTTTTGAATCAATAAATCTTCAAAACTGCTGAACTGAAGTACATTAATTTTATATCATTATAAAGGGAATTCAAAGACCTTTAAAATAAGGTATCACTCGACCCCCCTTTCCATTTAAGATTTTAGGGTTGGTGTCACCCCCGCCCAGGGGGCTGCACGTGTTAACGTGATTTTTTGCCAAACTTGTATCCCCTCGAAAACAACATCAACAGGTCTGAGCGTTTTTCAAAAAAAAAACTGAGCTGCCGGTAAATGCGTCTGTTTCGTTTTCGATGCGCCACCCTGTATATTCATAATGGATATTTGTTTTCCTGATATTTAGCTGATTATATACCGATAATTTATTTATGTGAGAAATGAAGGAAATAAAGTAGTCTTTTTTATAATTAATAGTTAACAATAATTGACTATCAAACCAGTCTGCTATCTGTACCGAATCTTTTTCAATTTCTTCTTTTAATTTTGTCCAAATTCTGGCTTTATGGATGTTAATGAAAAGGGGCGCAAGTATTGTTCCTTGTAGAACTCCATACATTACAGTCATTTCTTCACTAAATATATTCTCAATTTTAACCTTACGTTTTCTATTATGCAGATAATTTTGAAATAGTGCTGAAGATTGGTTAATACTCCCTGAACATCGCGCAAGTACTTTACAAAACTGTTATAGTCACTCAGCTGTAAAATCTTAAGTAAACTTTATGTAGGTATCAAGGACTCTCCAACATTAGCTGTTTTAAACAAAAACTCAAGGCATTTTTGGTCAGAGGGTTTTTACAGCTTCAAATAGTTCTTTCCATCCTGAACTCATGCTAAGTTTACAATTTTTTGTTTTCTAAACCCCACTATTTAACAGTTAAATAAACGGATTATTACTACATTTTATTTTATGGGCGCGTCAAGTGAAAAGATAAGAATAATAGTGTACCTTGGAGCAGTGAGGTTTGCTGTGAAGAATATGAGCGACAGATCAAAAAAATTATGTCATGTTCTACTTGAAAATATTTATTTTCAGTATGAGCCCAAAGCCTCAGTGTGGACATACGTTAGCACGAGTGTTATACCAGTAAGATATGTGATGGTGGTGTTCCTACACTTTATATGTATTCTTATCGATCGAGCTATCTATCTTCAAAGAAGTTTGGTGCTGAAGCTTGTGTATCACTTCCTTCATGTCGCCTTTGTCCATATATGGATGTTCGTGTTGATTCCTAACTTCATCAACGGAAGGTAACTATATTAACTAACAATTACATTTCTTCACCACGAATTGCGGAACTGAAAGCAAAACTTTGACCATGGCAGTAACCTTGAGCTGAAAAGGCAGCTTTGCTGTTGGGCCCAGCAAGAAGAAACATCGCCATATCCACTAAACTTGTCCTTAAAGGCGGTATTAGGAACCAAGGCCATGCAAAGAATACAGGAATTCAACTATCCTAGATCAAATGACCGTACATAGTTGTCACATTTCAGACACTCTGCCCACATAGATCTATCTTCTCACAATTTGAAAATGATTCAAAGATCTAATGTACACAGAACCCAAAGAGCTACGGTCTTTGAAGTTTTGCATATGGAAATAAAACAACACGGTAGGTAGTTTTAAATGACTTTATTGTTTTTCGAAGTATTCTCCATATTAATGCACATCCGCATGCGCTCGAACCAATTTTCGAAGCACTTATTCCACTCGTTTGCTGGCAGATAAAAAACGGCATTTTTGAATGAGTCAACTGCTTCTTCTGGTGACTGGAACCTTTGAACACGCAGTCTGTTTTTAATTTTCGGGAAAGTAAAATCGTTAGGACTTAGATCTAGACTATATGGAGGATGGACCAATAATTCCACGCTTTCTTCCGTTAAATACTGCCTTGTTTTTTTTGGGCTGTGAGCGAGCTTGCATTTTTTTGAATTGAGGTCTTTGAGATCTTCAAGGACTCCTCAATCTCGCGATATGTCACATGCCTATCTTAAATGATGCGTGCGCACAGCATCGACGTTTTCCTGGGTGACTGCCATTTTTGGAGCTCCCAGCCTGGGATCGTCGCTAAGACTCACCCGTCCACGTTTGAATTCTTGAATACCAACGGGAAATTGTCGAATGATGAGGCGCTTCGTTGCCGAAAACAGACATTAACTCAGCAAGGCATTTTTGTTGCGATAATTGACTCTGAAGGTTCTAATAAATTATGGCGCGAAAATGTTCTCGGTTGAGTTCCATTTTTCTAATGACTTGGTGACACTTAAAAATTCACTGTAGTGAGAACACTGGACGTATTGTTGTCAAACTTTGAATTTAAGTTTACTAAAGAGTGAGGTTAAGATTCAGTACTGACGTTCGATCCGCGCGGCCTACTATGTTTCTATATGCAAAACTTAAAAGACATCCCTCGTAGTCGTCAAATCTGCGTTACCTAAGCTATACTGAGTATTCCGTACTTAAATGGACGTACTGAAATAGAAAGTAGTATGAACGGAGATATTTTCTTGTGTAAAAATAGAAAAAGCTATGAGTTTATTATTTACGGATATACAGGGTGCGTTATGTAATTACGCCAAATCTCTAATACCACATATCTCGGGAACATACAATTGAACCAATTTGTTTGAAATTTTGTACAACAGCACCGTTACCTAGAATTAATTTAAAATTAAACGGACGGTTGAAAAATCCAGGACCGCAATAGTTTTTTTTATTCAAATAAAATAAAATATATATGACTTCGAAGTTGAGTCATTTATTTTAACAGAGAGTAGATCTGATCAAAAGAAATGTTTTTTCCTTTAACATTTTTCTGGTAAAATTAAAGTAACAAAGCTATAGCCCTTTAGAAGTTTGAGTACCGCCCTGTCTCAATAATAATATTATGTGCTCGTGTTTGGCAACAACGAATATAATCCGCCTTATCCGTTCATCGCATCGGAAACAAAAAAGCGAAAGAATTTGAAACGATGTTTTTACTACAATGTACAATTTTATTCAGTTGTATTTAGTCAATGTGTCAGTCGGTAACGCGTGAGTGAATAGTGGTGTTTGTTGCGTGGCTCAAACGAAATAAAAAATGGCACATGTTTACGAAAATGCTGAATGTAGTACAAAGGGCTCGTGAATCAGGTGACTTAAGACCTCACAGGGAAGGGCATGCCGGTGCTCCAAGCCCGCACGATCAAATACAGGTCCGCACTGAAATACTTGTCGGGAGGATACTTTATAAAACAAGGTAAAATTTTTTTTTAATTTGTTTTTTTATTTTTACACACATATTTTGGTTTATCTTCCTTTTACAATCATTATCTAAAAATTAATGACTCAACTTCAAAATAATATTCATTTGAGCAGATCATGTGACACAAAACTCAAAATTCAAGAGTTATCAACTTCTTTCATCAATATTTAAGAAAATAGTGCATAAAATTCAACCTATGTTTTGGAAACCAGATTTCAGTTCTGGGTTCGGTTTCTCTACTCTACGACCTGAAGTTATACTCTGGATGTATAATAACTTCGCACAAAAAAGAGCCAGTACATGGTATAAATAAAGGGGACAATTGATATGACCCTATTTACCTATTTCGTCATTGTCGTAATGATTTAATTTTTACAACATTAGCTCTGCTTAAAAGGGAAACGGTGATTGCACTAAATTCACTCTTCCAGACCAAGCGTAAGTAAAAAATTCACGAAAACGTACTATACAGATTCGAACTTGACATTTGTAACGAAATCTGGTATGGTTGTGATAAGAACACGTGAATGTGACTGTGCTAAAAATGCTGTCCTTGTCTGTATTTTAGGTCCTCCCACATTTTCATCAAAATCTTGAATTGGTCTGGAGACTCAAATTCTTAAAGCAGGACTCGTGTTGTTGTATCACATCAGTTCAAATCATTAAAACATTGATAAGATAAGATTGTTTTCCATTTATATCAAGGGTTGTTCTTTGTTGTGTGAAGTAATAATAAATTTAGATTATAACCTGCTAAAATACATGAAATAAAAAAACTAAATCAAAATGTTGAATTCCCAAAAAGCTTTGAGTTTTATTTTAAGTATTATTTTATAATATATATGTTCATGAAACTTAGTTGATAACCGTCAAAATTTTGAGTTTTGCATCACATGAGCTGCTAAAAATAAGATAATTGAACAAATCAAAATTGTCAACAAAGAAACTAAAGGTGGCGAAATAAATTTTGCGAATCAATAAAAACCACTCATTGGCTTTTTTGTGCATTATCAAACATTTCAATATTCAGCTTAAAAGGCGTTGATTTTGATGAAAAAAACAAAGAAATGAAGAAATCGAGTCCGGCCCTGGATTTCCAAGCCGTCTGGCCCGTCTGCCTTCTAAGCAACTTTGTTATCGTGCAAAGTGCCAACAAAAATAGGTTCAACATTGCCTGAGATATGGGATATTAAGGATTTGTCAGGCTTAGATAACTCACCTTATACCTATCAGTTCACCACATCCATTCAGGTACGGAGCACCCTGTATATGAACAGAAATGACCTTATGATTTTCTATAGGATGGCAATCGAGCAACCAGCAATAGTAGCCTATTACATCTTCCGATGCATCTACCTGTTGATATCAGCCCAGCAAATCCGTGTTGGATACCCAAGTCGTATTTGGGGCTTCTATTGCTTCCACAAATGTGGGATCTGGAACTACGTCAATATCCAGGGATATTTGCTAATACCGTTCCTGTTTGAACTGCGCAGCAGTTTCGATTGGATGTTCACTGACACTTCAATGTCGATTTTCGATTGGTTCAGAATGGAAGATATTTACACTAGTGTCTTCAAAGTCAAGGTACTGAAAATGCTAAGCATATCATAAACAGTCTTTCCGATGCGGAGAGAAAATAAAATATTTAAAAGTGTATATTCATCAGGTCTCTTCTATGATAAAATTAGCCCTTGGATGACCATTTGTTCTTGCAACACATATGAATAGTTCATTGATTTTAAGTAAATTGGTGTAACTAAAATAAGTAAACGGTTTAATAAATTTGATTAAACGAATGCGTTCTGGCTTAATTGAACTAGTTTCATGGATTCAAGTAAACTGCTTCAGAAATCTATTGCACTAAGCTAATTAGACTTGTTAGCTAGCTCTTGAACGACCATTTATTCTTGGAACACGTATAAATAGTTCATTGATTTTAAGTAAATTGGTGTCATTAAAATAAGTAAACGGCTTAATAAATTTGATTGAGCCAATGTGTTTTAGTCTAATTGAGCTAGTTTCGTAGATTCAAGTAAACTGTTTTAGAAATTCGAGTAGAATTAAACTAGTTAGACCTGTTAGATGTCTCTTCTACGATAAAATTAGCCCTTGAATGACCATTTGTTCTTGGAACACATATGAATGGTTTACTAATTTTAAGTAAATTGGTGTAACTAGAATAAGTAAACGGTTTAATAAATTTAAATAAACGAATGCGTTTTGGTTTAATTGAACTAGTTTCATAGACTCAAGTAAACTGTTTTAGAAATTCAAGTCAAATTAAACTAATTAGACTTGTTAGCTGTCTCTTCTACAATAGAATTAGCCCTTGGATGACCATTTATTCTTGGAACATATATAAATAGTTCATTGATTTTAAGTAAATTGGTGTCATTAAATAAGTAAACGGCTTAATAAATTTGATTGAGCCAATGTGTTTTAGTCTAATTGAGCTAGTTTCATAGATTCAAGTAAACTGTTTTAGAACTTCGAGTAGAATTAAACAAGTTAGACTTGTTAGATGTCTCTTCTACGATAAAATTAGCCCTTGAATGACCATTTGTTCTTGAAACACTTATGAATGGTTTACTAATTTTAAGTAAATTGGTGTACTTAGAATAACTGACGGTTTAATTAATTTAATTAAACGAATGCGTTTTGGTTTAATTGAACTAGTTTCATAGACTCAAGTAAACTGTTTTAGAAATTCAAGTCAAATTAAACTAATTAGACTTGTTAGCTGTCTCTTTTATAATAGAATTAGCCCTTGGATGACCATTTATTCTTGGAACACATATAAATAGTTCATTGATTTTAAGTGAATTGGTGTCATTAAGATAAGTAAACGGTTTACTAAATTAAACGTTTTACTTTAATTGAACCAGTTTCATAGAATAAAGTAAACTGTTTTAGATATTCGAGTAAACTGATTAAACTTGTTAACTGTCTCTTCTACGATAAAATTAGCCCTTGAATGACCATTTGTTCTTGGAACACATATGAATGATTAATTTTAAGTAAATTGGTATAATTAAACTAAATAAACGGTTTAATAAATTCAATTAAGCGATTGCGTCTTGGCTTAATTGCACTATTTTCATATATTCAAGTAAACAATTTAATAAATCCGAGTTAGGTTAAGCTAATTAGACCTTTTAGCTTTCATACAGTTAGTTACATGTTTTAATTGACCTAATTAACATTGTAATTGGTTAAATTTAATTCTTTTCTCAGTGCTTGCGCGGGATAGAGGACGACTTAATGGGTATCCCCGCAGTAAAAAAGAAGTTGATCTATAAGTGTGTGTATGGTATCAGTCTATTGATATTTTTGATAATCCTGATTTGGTTTCCTGTTATGGTGTACTCCTGGGGCAGAGTAGCAGGGCAGTCTAACAGACCGTCGGCTGCTACGCTGAAGTTCCAATTTGGGGATGCTGAACCGATATATGAAAACAAAGCAGATTTATACGCGTGAGTATTGGAGTTGTATAGAAGAAGTTGCCAGATCATATGCTGTAGTTTGTACAATTTCCATCATTATAGCCATGTTGTCAAGTAGATTCAAATATATTTGTGTGTGCTGAAGATTTATTTGGAGTTAATTTTATTAATTTACTCGTTTATACATTTTTTTGAACAATTTTTTGTAATTGCAGATTCGTGTGACTATTAAAGTTTCATCACTATGCATTTAAAGTGATAAAGTGATTTTTTTATTTCACCTTAAACATTTTTAAATTCGAACGCTGTTTATCATTATTCAGTTCATTAAATTCAAATATTCCCTTTTGAAATACGGATTTGCCGATTATGATACTGTTCCAATTTTACAGATAAAAATCTATACTGCCTCTAGTTTCGTAAGTGATGATAATGACCATTTAATTTTGTGAAGTTTTCTAGGAATAGGAAGTAAAAAACCTGCACATATCCTGTTCTAAGTAATAAAAGACTAACTCCATTTTCTTTAAAGAAACATGTTAGACATCAACCTCCCTCGTGATTATTCCTAACAACTTTTGTATTCTACTTGTGTGGAGTTGTGTGCTGTATTCCATCTACTTTATGCTATTTTTAAGGTTGTCACATATAGAATTTGAGTACATAAAGCAGGTGTATAATGCGTACGACATATCTAAAGAGTTCCTGTATAACTATAAACACACTGACGTTGAAGTACTGGCCTTCAGAACTGGTGGAAAAACGTGGATGATACGACTTGACGAGAAGAAAAGGCTACTCAAGATTATCAATGGACGTAAGATATGATTTACAGTACGGAAGCTATTGTCTTTAAAAATATAAGGTTTATGAATATAATATGAATATAAAAAGATATTAGTCATCTCTTCGAATTGTGGCTGAACGCAAGTACTAGCTGTTTCAGTAACCGATTTGTAGAAATAATAATATTTCCTTCTTCAGGGCTCTACAAACAATTTGAAGCTTTACATATACATTGATCAAGAATTCCAATAATAAGATCGAGATACGTAAAAGATACTTATTTTGGTCAAGGCATTTTATGACGTATAGTTACATAATTGCAGAATGCTGTGATTTTTGTTACTAAGGCCTACTGGCTCAACTTCTAACTTCATTTCTAGTTCACGAAATCTTGATCTTTCAGCTCATCCTCTGCCAGTTCGCATGTCGTGCAAAGTTATATTGCCAGCTAGAGAGGAACAGAAGGTAATAGATATATCGGCAAAGAAGATGATGTTTCCGTATTCGACCAGTCGATCTGACGCTGCCAAACTAATTGAAGGTGAAGAGGTAGAACATCCTCTAAAAGTCAGGTATCTGTTGCCGAAGTTCCTCAAGATCGAGCAGCGGGGTAAGGGGAACGTGGTGAACGTCCTTATGCTCCCTGAGTCAGACGGTAAGCCCATAAAGTAGGCGACAAGTCTACAATTTTTATAATCCATAATAGGACTTGACTTGGCAGTGAAAAGCGTAACCAGAGAAAAACTCGCCGAGGTTTCATCAGCCAAGTAAAACAGCTTTTCAAATAGGCCCAATTGTTTTTTGAACGGTTCAACTTAGCAAGCTGAAGTTTGTGGTAATGAGTGCCTGTGCACTATATTTCAACAGTTTTTAAATTGAACGGGTGGTCGTATGAAGCTCCTTTTGAGTGCATTGTGACCCAAAAATACTCCTAGTGAAAAATCTATCAAATTTGGAGATATCCCCCAACTTGGCAACCCTGTCAAAGCACCGCTGATCGCCTCAGTAGCCGTCAAAACGTAACTGACACTCCTGAAAAAGACCATAAATCAGAGTTTATTTAATCTAAATATTTTTGTGAACCGCCACATCAGTATATTTCAAATTTGCAGATGATGATCATGCAACTGGATCACGGAATGTCAGCTTCCGTTCTGTGTTGGCGGCCGAACAAAACGGCCGAGTATGGTGGGACATCAGTGAAGAAACCAATGACGCAAATTACGAGGCATTCCTTCAAAAAATGCCTTATGGTTCTGCGCAAAGCAGTCACCTGGTCATCTTTACTTTCTCGGATAAAATTGTGCATTCGTTTTTCAGCCTGGCCACGGGCGGCTCGTAAGTATTTCTTATTTTTTCGAATAATTTCTATCCCTTTTTATAGTAAAGATATTCTTATACTGTCAGACCAAATAGTAGTTATATCAAGAGAAATATATATTACTTCGGGAAATACCTTTATAAACCGCCAGTCGGCCCCATTGACCTTGGGAGTCTTCTACAAGTGCTTTCACTGTTTGGTATTAAAAATGAAAAATATACTTGTGACAAATAGCGCCATCTGTTGGGCGAGTCTCCTACTCGCCAGAGCTTAATGGCCGATCTCTGGTTTTACACAACCGGCGGCGTCTGTGAGGGCCGTGACAGTGGTTCTCCTTCTAGATCGACGCGAAGTGATCTCCAACATTCTAGATGTCGCTTGTGGTCTTTCTCGCAGCGGTAATTGGGATTATATATATATACAGGGTGACTTCGAAGTTGAGTCATTTATTTTAACAGTGAGTAGATCTGATCAAAAGAAATGTTTTTTCCTTTACCATTTTTCTGGTAAAATTAAAGTAACAAAGTTATAGCCCTTTGGAAGTTTGAGTACCGCCCTGTCTCAATAATAATATCATGTGCTCGTGTTTGGCAACAACGGATATAATCCGCCTTATCGGTTCATCGCATCGGAAACAAAAAAGCGAAAGAATTTGGAACGATGTTTTTACAATTATTTTATTCAGTTCAGTTATACATACAGTTAGTGTCAGTCGGTAACGCGTGTAAATAGTGTCTGTTGCGTGGCTCAAACGAAATAAAAAATGGCACATGCTTATGCGGATCGGTTTCCCAATCGAGTGCAACCAACCGCTCGTGCCTTTGTTAATGTAGTACAACGGGCTCGTGAATCAGGTGACTTAAGACCTCACAGGGGACCTCACGATCAAATACAGGTCCGCACTGAAATACTTGTCGGGAGGATACTTTATAAAACAAGGTAACATTTTTTTTTAATTTTTTTTTTATTTTTACACACATATTTTGGTTTATCTTCCTTCTACAATCATTATCTGAAAATTAATGACTCAACTTCAAAGTATATATATATAACTCGGCGGCCGGGAGATAGTGGTGTATATAAATGCTTTATCGAATTAAATAAATTAGTGCATTTCTTTTTCGTGGAATCGAGTGTTTTAATTCACACCCAAAAGAACCCAGAAAAACGCTACACACTTTTTTAAATTAGACCTACATCTCCATCTTGAGATCTTAAAAATCGAAATTAGTATATTCCGTTTTCCTGAGGCAAACTCTATAAGAACTGAAACTGATAGAGGATGTTTGGTTTGTTCTAGGATCATAACATTCTACACTGTGTTCCTTTATGTCGTTCATGGTTGGTCTCGTGAAATAATTTCGAAAAGACTGAACATGACGTGGCTGTACGAGCTATCACAAGCAGATGTCGTGTATGCGCTGTGCAAGGAGGTAACAGCATACATTTTATTATTACCGTTTGTCATGAAGGTAGATCTTTTTTACATATTGACCACAACACAGCGGAACGAAATCCCAATTTGGCGACCAGAAGTCTTAAAGGTGGTTTTTATGTTTTTTCTTTAACTAGAACTTTATGAGACACTCTCGTGCATCGGCACTTACGCGACTGTAAATTGAGAGTTTTTAATTATAAAAAAATAGATTCTCCTTTTTTCGTTTATTGTTGCCTGAATTTTAGTTAAGTGGGAGATAAAACAGTGAACTTCCTAAAATCTGAAGACAGTTTATAAATAACATTTTTTTTATAAGTTCTTGCTTTTATACATGCTCATTAAGGCTGAAGCTGCATAATTCTGCACTTCAAAACACAATTTCTTATGAAAAAATATCGTTTCTTGAAAATTGAAAATCGTTCTGGTAAATTGGTACTCGAGAAGTTTTTCGAAATAATCGTTACCATTGAGTTACTGTCAGGAAGATGAAAAGAAGATGAGCATGGGTCTGCACGAATGTCTACTGTACTTGTGAGCCAAATATTAGGTTCCAACACGAAATACTCAATGCCAGTCATACATTTAATCTCGCCAAAAGTGTTTAAATAATTAATAAGATATTAGATGTCGATTTTCGTGACAAGTTTGTTTTTATTGAGAAATATTTTCGTAGAAAGTCATTGTTTTTTGAAATCCGAAAGGGGCTAAGTAAAGCCGGGTCGTGGAATTTTAGTTTTGACCTTTTCTTGTTTCTGTGTAGGTGTACATATGCAGAGAAGCAGGCATGTGGGATTTGGAAGAAGTAGCGGCGGCTAGAGTGTTCTTTATGATGAAATCCGGAGAGACTTGTTTCAAACTAAGCCGTTTCCATGGAATTCCCTATAATCCTAGTACTTACAAGACATTGCCAACTGTGCCAAGGAGAACCTAAACAATTTTGAACAAGTTTGAAGCAATTCAGGAAAATCTAATTCTATTGTTGTGTTAACTTTATACTGTTTGGTTATCTAAATATCTTATATTAAGTATCTTTGTGTTTTCTTCAAAATAACTCTAATGAACGTTGCACTCCAGTCCTTACAAAATGATCTTCTATGTAATGCTGGACCAAATCATTCCTCTTGGTGATTCGATTCCATGGTTTTGATTTTGGTCTCGAATCCGATTCATTCGCGATTGAACGCTTCAAATTAGCACGACGCTATATCGTAGTATAAAAATTGACTTGTTGACCTGAACTGTGATACGTGCGTTACCCTCCCGGCCCATTAGTAGATAAATTTCTAAATCGATCCTTGAAGGCGATCGAAGTCTTCTGTATTTTCCACTATGATACCAGAACTGGAGAGCTGTCCGTATAGTTGCTTCAGCTTTCTCTTCTAGGAAAAATGTTCCGTATCCATTTCTACAATGAAATTCAATATACAGAGTATTTGAAATCAATGTGAAGTGGATATTGTAGATCCTAAGGTAAACCGCTAACGCTGGCAACGCCTCTTGCTACAACTACAACATGAAGTTAGCGGCGAAGTGAGGTCGCCCAACCGGTTTCACGAGAAAGTGCCTAAGATGGTGAAATGTCAAGAAACAAATGTCACTGTCAGTTAGATGTCAAAATATATTTGGTTATGTGGATGAAAACACAAACGTAACAACAATATAACATTTTTTCGTGGTACAAAAAGACTTTTGAACGGTTGTTAGTGAAATAATCCAAAAAAATGGGCGAGCGCAAAGGCACAAACAAATACTACCCCCCGGACTACGACCCAAAGGCCGGGGGCCTCAACAAATTTCTTGGCACACATGCACTAAGAGAAAGAGCTAGAAAAATCGACCAAGGAATCATAATTATCCGATTTGAAATGCCCTACAATATTTGGTGTGAGGGTTGCCAAAATCATATAGGAATGGGCGTTCGATACAATGCTGAAAAGACAAAAGTTGGGATGTACTACACCACCCCAGTTTATCAGTTCAAGATGAAGTGTCATCTTTGTGATAACCACTTTGTGATTAAGACTGACCCAGCTGTAAGTACTTTAACATATTTTAATTCAGATTATTTATTTTGTTAGAAGGTCCTCCTCAGGGGTCACTTGGATGGATAATCAACCACCCCAAACTGTTGTTATTTTTTGTATGGGGCTATAGGGAGATATTACACTTAACTCATAATTTATGTGGTTTGCTCATTTCACAATTGCCTTTTATTTGATTAATGTATGGTCACAATTTCACAAAAAAAAATAGCTTAAGAAGCACTAAAATGCTGATTTACTATTCATTTGTAGAATCTAGACTATTTAATACTTTCGGGAGCGAGAAGACAAGAAAACAGGTGGGACCCATTGAAAAATGAACAAGTTGTACCAGAGACCAAGGAAACTCAAAAAAGGCTATTTGATGATTCTATGTACAAACTCGAACATGGAAGTAAGGACACAGCACTTGCAGAAAGTGCAAAACCAAGATTAGCAAATCTTTTCAATAGAAATGAAGATGTTTGGGCTGATTGTTATACAGCTAATCAAAAGTTAAGAGCACAGTTTAGGGTAAGATACTCTTGTTTATCCAGACCATAATGCAAAAGCTACTTGATAAACAGGAAAGAAATTTTAATTTATTAACATCTGCATTGTCTAAATCAAAGTCTCTGTTTCAGAAAGATATATAAATATTTTATGGTCAACCTTAGTTTAAGTTCTAAGAAAACTTCAGACATCAGTGTGTTCAAAAACATTTTTTCTCAAATTGAATGGTTAGCCTAGGACTTCTGAAGATATTTGAGGACTTTCAAAATAATATCCTTATCTTTCACTCTCACAGTAGTTGCTTATAGTAATAGATGGCACTTATGATATTGTCTTTGGATTAACCTTAGACCTTTTATATAGGAAACGTTCTGCTTTCATTCATTCTCTTGTCTAGAGACCTCAACTATCCTTATGATTGACAGTTTGTTGGTTGGGTGGACAAAAGTAGTATTAATAATGCTTATCTTTGTTATTGTTGCAGAAAACAAATTGTGATTTGAAGAAGCAAGTAGCAAAAGATAACATGCTATTAAAAAAATCTAGCCTAGATATTCCTTTACTAGCTGAGAGAGAAGAAGACAAAAAAGTAGCATCTCTCTTAAGCATGAAGCTCAAGTCAAATAAGAGTATTGCTGAAAACACAGATCAAATAAGGAAGAAGATTATATCTGAGTCTTCACTGCCTGCTAGTAACTTTTCAAGGATCAAGGAAGAAAAGGCTGTGAAAATGTTGACTTCAGCAAAGAAAGATTTGGGTGTCATCAGAAAGAATAATTTAACAAATTCGTCTGCTATCTCAAATATTGTTAGTTGTAGTTCAAAGATGAGAGGTAACGATGTTACTAACGGTCCAGAAGATGTTGTAGGTTTAGAAAAAAATAGTGAGACCAATGTTGTCAATGCTTCAGCTGAAGGTAATGCTGATCAAGAGGACACTAGTGATCAAGCAATTTCAAGTCAAGGAACCAGAAAAGAATCATTTGAACAATTACAGACTTCCAAACATCAAATTAGTGATATTACTAGTGATAATGATAGAGATGCAGAAAACATATCTTGTAAAAAATTGAAGTCTAATGTTTCTTTAGTTGGTGACTATGGATCAACAAGTGAGTCTGAGTGAGACTGTAGATGTATATTAATATTTGTATAGTATATAGTATTTGGCTGTCAATTATTGCTCATCATGTGAAGAAAGAAAAGCAAACACTGTAACATCATTCAATCAGCATGATGTATAGTTGATCCTCATCATGATTTTTGCAGATTGTTTTGGTCTGAGGTATGAGGAAGGTGGAAAATACAAAATGTTTAGGTATAGTATTTATTGAGTGTATGAAGATACTTTCAAATTGTATTTATACCTAGAATGCATTTAGTCCTGTGATTGCTCTTCCTAATATCAATGCATGGACATCATGTGTACCTGAAAATAAAATATCAACTAAATCTGATAGCCTTATTATTTTGTATAATAATCAATTCAAAGTTGAAACATAAATAATGGCATGCTGTAAGCATTATAATAATAACGTTTGTTGGTTAAAGTACAAAATATACCTTATTTCACGAGTATTCATCACGGTAGAATGACAGCTGATTATCTAGTAATATCTCAAAATGCCCTGTATAGGCACAGAACACAATTCTGACGGATCCGTCAATCCCAGGTTGGCAGAGCCATACTTTGTTTTGGTTTTTTGTACGCTACAGATTCATTTTGTACTTGCTACAAGTTCTTTTATGTAGAAAAGTACATTTGCATCCAAAAAATAAAACCCTACAAACAATTTTTTGCTAGATTTATACCCGATTCATTATAGCCAATGTTGCAGACTAACACAAAAATGTCACTAGCTGATCAGCTGTTTACCTCAGTAGACGTCAAAGCGTGATGCATACTCGTGGAATAGGGTGTATGATATAGCAGAGTAGGGATAATAGAAATTCTATAACGCATCTATGTGACCAATATGGCAGCTCCTAACATGATTTGAGCTTTCAACAGTCACAAGAGAAAACTATTTTGCAAGTTATAGATATACTGTAAGTTGGAAATGCATTAGCATACATACCTTCATATGTATTTACAGCTTCTAAATTCATCGCATGTCGTATTATGTGGTATTCATCGTGAATTCCGTTACCTCCTAGCATATCTCTTGCTTCTCTCGCTATAGCCAAAGCTTTGCCTGCGTTATTCCTTTTGAGCATTGATATCATTTCAGGTGTATGTCTGCAGCAAGGAAAGTAATGTAATATTAAAATGCAGTGAGTCTATAACATTAAAATTATATTTAGTTTCAGGTTCGTATGTGTCGTTCGTTTTGGGTATCGATTAGAAGATAGCAACCTAATACAAATACTATACAGGGTGACTTTGAAGTTTGAGTCATTAATTTTCAGATAATGATTGTAGAAGGAAGATAAACCAAAATATGTGTGTAAAAATAAAAAAATAAATAAAAAAAAATGTTACCTTGTTTAATAAAGTATCGTCCCGACAAGTATTTCAGTGCGGACCTGTATTTGATCGTGCGGTCTTGGAGCAGCATGCCCTGACCTGTGAGGTCTTAAGAAGTCACCTGATTCACGAGCCCTTTGTACTACATTAACAAAGGCACGAGGGGTTGGTTGCAGTCGATTGGGAAACCGATTCGCATACATCCGTGATGCATCCGGAAGCATTTTGTAAACACTGCCCCCCCGTAAATAAGAATCATGTCCACAAGTTCAGCATTTTCGTAAACATGTGCCATTTTTGATTTCGTTTGAGCCACGCAACAAATACTACTATTCATTAACGCGTTATCGACTGACGAAAAACATCGTGATAAACGTTTCAAATTCTTTCGCTTTTTTGTTTCCGATGCGATGAACCGGTCAGGCGGATTATATCCGTTGTCGCCAAACACGAACATATTATTATTGAGACAGGGCAGTACTCAAACTTCCAAAGGGCTATAACTTTGTTACTTTAATTTTACCAGAAAAATGGTAAAGGAAAAAAACATTTCTTTTGATCAGATCTACTCACTGTTAAAATAAATGACTCAACTTCGAAGTCACCCTGTATTTCCGCGACCTAAGAATAATTATCAGAGATAAAATAAATACAGTAGCGCCATCTATGAGAATTTTATCACAGCTGTTTCTATACTTATTGTGTATACTTTGAATAGGTTAGTGTCTCATAGATGGCGCTGTATCCGCATATATGCAAAACATTAGATTGGCTATCTTTCGCAGGGTATTTAGGTTAGGAAAATTTGAAACATACACATTTCTCTTTCGATACTATTAATCTGAAGCGTGTAATCTCTCTCGGCTGGCCTTTCTGCCATTCTAGGTTTCATAATTTTATAAAAATTGCAATTTTCCCTTGTGGTTTTTCAATTTAATGAAAACAGAAAGATGTTCTTGAAACCTGTAAAACGTCTCCTAGGTAAATAATTTTTATTGTCATACGCGCCCGATTACACGACTCAATT